CAGTACACTATTCAGTAAACTAATATGGAAAGAGATCATCCACCAATTTGTAGATCATTTCTTAGGGAAAGCGAGAGCCGATCAACCATAGCTATGTGAGTGTACGGAGGGTATCCATTTGCAACCATGATATTTCCAAACTGTAGTGCGCACACTGCCTGATTCTTGCCGTGATCTGAGGTTTCCACTTACCTTTGTTGCCTGTTTCTATGGTTGACATGATGAGGTGTTGACATGATGAAGTGTAGACTCACCATACATTAATCCGTAACTCAGAAGTTCACTTTACATCAAGGTTAATCACATTAAATCCCCATGAAATCACATCAAATCACCATCAAATGTGTGATATCACCATCATGAAACCATTCACGAAACCATTCATGAAGCCATTTGTTGGTGATATCACCATGTTTTCACCATCAAATCACCATGGCCACGGCAGGTGGTCCGTCGCCAAACCATTCGGGGCCTCACAGCCTGGTGTAACCTGCTGGTGGCCGCCGGCATGGCGGCGGTGGGGCTGGCCATCAACAGCAGCGCCACGGTGGTGCCATGGCGGTTCAGAAACAAAGTGAAACAACAAGTGATATCCATCAATAGGATTATGATATGAGTATGGGTCAATACCTATAGATACATTTTTAGGGGAATGAACATCCATTTACCAGCTATTTTGATGTTCACCAGGGGTATCAATAGGATTATGATATGGGTCTGTCTGAAAATAGTGTACACCTAAACCCAATGGTTAATGATCATTATCCCTATTAAATGGCTATAATTGGGAATATACCCTATTTTCAGACAAACCCATATGGGGGGTTCCTAAAATAGGGGTTTACCCCTAAATCATCCAATTTAATAGGATTGTCCGTTATAAACCATCAATTTTGGGGTAGGAACCCTCATATGCATCTTTTTAGCATTCGTTAGCTATAGTTAATTGTACTGTAAATTGATCATATGATAGTTTGATGACAGTTATATGGAGGTTTGCCAAGTCATATGGGTACCCCCCAAATCATCCAAATCATTAGACCATTTTAGTGTTGAAACATCTTGAAACCCATGGTTTTGGGCATCCCCCATTCCAAGAACCCCCCAAACGAGCCATGAAACAAATCCTCTGTTGATGCTGTTGATATGGGGGTTCTGCAAATTGGCTTATTGATGCTTATTGGGGTTTGTTTTAAGCCATAATAGGATAGAATAGGCATATAGGATCATAAGGCATCTTACTAACTAACCAGTATTTCTTGGGAAAGCGGGATATTCTTCAAGGCTCAAATGGGCCCCTTGGCGCGCCCAAAGCTCCAAAGTCAAGTGGTTTTTCATTGGCAGAATTTTGCCATGGGGAGACCGTGGGATACTGTATATATATATATATACCTATATATAATTTTATTATACTATATAAGCTTAGCTGTAATCAAAAAGTTCATTATATACCCATGTTGAGGATTGGTCATCAGTCCATCGATAGGAATCTATATGATTATCGATATACCCGTTCCGTTTAGATTCCCACTATAACATATAGCATGTTCTAACCATGGCACATGTAGCCACACTTCTGGGGAATCTTTGGAATGATATTTTACCAAATACCCTTACTTTGATTCGTTTTCATGAATGGAGGTATATATATATATGTACACAATTATACACACTAGTTTACTATCATATACTAACCACCTAAAAGAACAATTGCGGGTATCTAAGATTGGCCATGGCATCCACGCTTGACAGTGGGATATGGAGGATAGATGATCCTGGAAGTTGCGATCTCTCGCGAATGTCTGTGTAGCTGAAGAATAATGATATGGCAACCCCGAAAAAGATACTGACAAGTAGAATCCCATAGTAAATGGTTGTTAAATGAAACTGATGGTTGATACCTTTTCTGACTTTTTTTTGGCCGTGTTACTTTAACCAGGACATGAAAAATACGGAGATATTTCCATGGGGATTTGGAACTGATTTATGATAGTTGGTGCCAATCAATCCAATTTCACTACGGTTCATAATACCTAATGATCTACACTTAGTGGGTTTATCAGCCAACTTACAACCGTGGTGATGTTTGTGTGTCACATCTGGGATTTAAGCTTCAAAACGTGCATAGTTAACCAGTGAAATTGGGGATTTTAATGTTCACAGTTTGTTGTTGTTTATCTCTCCCAAGTCAAAATTGGGGTTCCTTTAAACATGGGAATTCCACCGGCGAACTTTTAATCCATGTCCAAGCCATGGCTCCCGTTGAGGTGGCAAGTATGCTGATCTCGCCCTTGCATCTCTGCGAAAGGGAAAGTGATATCATGTGCTGTGAAATGCCATGTATGCACTTTCTATGTGCTGCAGATAACTGTCTATATACACACATTGTTGGGTGGTGTTCAATACTTGTTATATTCTGTGCCATTTTTGATGATCCCATTTGACTAACATGTTTTAGGGGGTTGAAACCCTGAACAGGTACTGACTGTATATCATATGCCCCCAAACACAGATGGTTTACACAAAGATTAAAAGGACAATAATATACATGAAGTTCCGAATCCAGTTACTTAAATAAATACCACAAAACGTGGCACACCAAGGAAGGTAGCGCTGATCATCCCAAGCTAAAGGCCGAGTTCAGCACCAGTGAAACCGAATTGGTCCACGATTTCGTTGGTAAGGTGAATGGGTTTGCCTTTATGATACAGGTGCATATAGGTGCCAGGTGCGACATATCCCCCTGTCAAATTCTACTTGTGCTATCCCAGTGAACCAATGGAGAATGAAATGATGAAGTGTCCCGGTTAGGGCGTGTTTAGAGGGGTTTCTGAAGCAAAGTTCCCCGCATGAACAAAGAATCAGACGACCAATTCTTGAAGTCCCCATCTTGAGAATTCCCCTCATCATCCCTCATCCACTTTAATAGGGTTTTCCATTATAAACCATCATTTTTTTAAAAAAGGAAACCTCCATATTATTTTGGACCAGTCCATGGGCAGAATGCAAGGAGACATGGACTTGAGTCTGAACGAAATTCTACGACCTATACCTACGGAATCTTAAGGACGGGCATGTATTTCATTGTACCATTTTATATTACCTTGAACAATCATTAGATACAGTGTATATATATATATATGTACTGTATATACACACATACACAGTTGTGAAGATGGACATTCTGTCTATAGATTCACACATTTATAGTGCTCTACTGTAGATAGTAATATACTGTATTATATTTGCAGTATATATACCCATGCATTGAGTTTGGCAGGCTTGGGTGTGCATGTATCATCTTTAAGTGCTTCAATGAATGCTATCATTTTGGCTCAAGTAAACCTGAACCAAAATAGCATTCATTGCTGTTTCTTTCTTGGTCTGGGTAAGGGATGCAGCGCAAACTCCCAGGGATCGATATCCCGGCAGCCACCGAGGCGAAGATCCTCCATGCGGCCGCGTTTTTGGAAGTCAAGAGCCACGTGGAAAGGCTGGCAAGGGAGGGGTCCGACCTCAAGAAGCCTTGGTCCTGGCGTTTTGCAAGCTTTTCCCCGAGCACTGGTTCAGGCACTACAAGTTTGCTATGGTTGAAGATCTCATCAACAGCCCTCCTTTCTGCTCCTACTCCGTTTGGTTAGCCGAGCGTGGAGAGGCGTGGGATGGACCGCTAGTCCCTCATCTCGCTGCAGGTTCAGTGCGACAGATGGCAAGAATTGGGGATGGGTGCCAGGTTGGCGCAATGACACACCGAGCAGCACTACCACCACTCCTGCCATTCAACTTGGACCCAGACGAGCACTTCCACCAGGCATTGCAGCGAGCACAGCAGCCACTACCCTACGAAGATCTCCCTGTGGCCGACTTGGATTTAGAGTATGTGGCTGCTGCATACGCTGCCCCACGCAAAGTTGCGTTCATGGAGGCAGCACGCTGTGGGAGCACTGCGAGAGTTGAAAAGACGCTGGGAGGGGGTGACCCTCCATTTGAGGTCTTTTCAAGAACCAACAGTGCATCAAGTCACCAAGAATCGTGACATGGGCTTCATCGCACTGCTGCTGATTAGCACATCCTGGGCTGACACGAGCTTCCCCCTTGGACTGGTTCGAGGATTACCAGCAGTTGGGTACGCACCACCTTACGGCATTTTTCCTCAGCAACCAGCTGAGGTGATCAGCATGTCGGATGTGTTGGACGGATGGCAAGAACACAATCAGCACATCTTGAACCAGCTGCGCTCAGAGAAGGACGACGAATTCCTTCTTCAGCAGTCCATGGAAGATGCTGCCAATGGGTTCTGCACATCGCCTTTGCGGAGAACAGAGTTTTTGAAGCTCATTGGCAATAGGGCACACCGACTGATACCACGATGCGTCATCACCCAAAGTTCAGGCAAACAGCGGGTCATCGACAATGGTTGTCTTCTGATGCCAACAAGCTCACATTGTGCAGCCCAATCCGACCAGCGCAGCATATCAGCCTAGTGATGCACCGCTGGACAGACGAAGAGGTAGCCGAGTTCTGGGCACAGGACGCCTGGGAGACAGGCCAGGAAGACTTGCCTTCAGCATACAGGTATTGTCCGATGGCATCACAGGAGAGCTTGGGCTGCGTGGTTGTGTGGTTCCACCACGAATGGCAAGCACCAGCATACCAAGTTTATGCAGGCCTCCTCTTTGGGCTCCCTTTGTCAGTCACTTCCTTCAACCGTTTCTCAAGGTTGTTGGAAGCGTTGACCAGGCGATTTTGCCACATTTTGGCATCGTTGTATTTTGATGACGCAACAATCACCGACGTGCAGTCGGCCAAAGGATCCGGCCAATGGGCCATGAACCAACTATGCTCTCTAATTGGATCCCCCTTTGCAGAAGACAAGAAGCAGGCCATGCAGAGCACGGGAACCTTCTTGGGTTTGACTCATGACCTGAGCAGCATCAATCACACGGGACACGTTCAGTTTTGGGCCCGAGAACGTCTCCATGACAAAGTTCGTGACATCCTCAGCACCGCTCGAGGTACTGGCCACTTCCGTCGAGGCACCGCTTCGAAGCTGTATGGGCTGGCCAATTTCTTAGAGCAGGGCATCTATGGCCGCGTGGGATATGGTGGGCTCATGGCGATCAAGGCCAGGCAGGATGAAACCACCACAGCCATGACCCCAGAGATTGAAGCGTGCTTCGAGGTGATCGAAGCAGTGATGCGCTTTCAGCCAAAACGGGAATTTCCCGTACTGCGCTTGGAACATCTTCGCTTTCTTGCAGCATCGGATGCAGCAGTTGAAGCAGACAACCCAGGCTCAGGAGGTTTTCACCTGATATTTTTCCAACCTGACGGATCACAGATTCGTCACAGTTTTGTTGCGACCAAGTGTGCAGCGCTTCAGAAACTATGGCAGCCTGCAGAAACCCACATCGCCCAGTTGGAACTCTCAATGGTGCTCTACGCTTTGGTCGAACGGCCTGATCTGTTTCGAAATCGACACGGTCTCTGGTTTTTGGACAACGTCGCCGCTGTCATGACACTAGTGAGAGGACGTTCTAGCAATGCAGACTTAGCGAAGCTAGGTCATTTGATCCATCTAGCTCTGTTTGCACTGCGAGCCCAGGGCTACTGGGAGTACGTCCAGAGCAAAAGCAACTGGGCTGATGACATTAGTCGACTTGGAGTCGACGATCCTTGGTGGCGATGCCATGGATTCGAATTTTATGCGTCGTATCTCCCTACCATCTTTTTCCAGCTGCCTTTTGTTGCTGTCATTCTCACCTTTGAATTCCTTTAGTGCTTTGGGATAGTAGTGCGTTGGGTGATACCTGCAAGAGCAGGTTCCAACCTGGAGATCCAGGTAGGTGACCAGTGGTGAAACTGGTCTGAGGCTATGTACGAGTCACACAGTGACAACCCAAAGCAAACCTGAGGATTGCAGGTGACAGTGACTTGACATAGGCTTAGCTATGGAAAAAGAAAGCTGCGGGAGCGCGAGTTGTACTGAGTTTCATATGGCACTTTGAGATGTACCCATGCATTGAGTTTGGCAGGCTTGGGTGTGCATGTATCATCTTTAAGTGCTTCAATGAATGCTATCATTTTGGCTCAAGTAAACCTGAACCAAAATAGCATTCATTGCTGTTTCTTTCCCCACCCTCCCAACCCTAAGAGCCGACCTCCCGTGGAGATGTCCGCCTAGGTTAGGGGAGCCTGCTTGGCAGGCGAGTACATAGCCTCTTTCGGGGATACTCTTTTGGGGTGACCAAAAGAATCTTTCCTTCCTTAGGCTAAGGGACGGGTGATACCTGCAAGAGCAGGTTCCAACCTGGAGATCCAGGTAGCTGACCAGTGGTGAAACTGGTCTGAGGCTATGTACGAGTCACACAGTGACAACCCAAAGCAAACCTGAGGATTGCAGGTGACAGTGACTTGACATAGGCTTAGCTATGGAAAAAGAAAGCTGCGGGAGCGCGAGTTGTACTGAGTTTCATATGGCACTTTGAGATGTATATATACAAATTAACTGATTGGATAGTATTTACATGTGTATTACTATTATCTATATTTATATATATATATGTATTACTATTATATACTGCATTTACATATTTATTATTTATACATCACAGTCTCTTGGGGCCGATGGCTGCATCGAGGATGTCGCCCATCATCCAGCTCTCCTTCGCGATGATCGATTCGGTGCTTCGGTCGGAGCCTTGGTTAAGCTGTGGAATTTAACCAGCAAAAACTGTTAGCCTTGGGTAAGCATACAAAAAGATGTGGAAAACCTCTGGTTTTCCTGTTCGGACAATCTGTAGAATGGGGTTGTCCACATCTATGTTAGTTTATAGGGTTATGATCTATATAGGGTGCAGTTTCTTGGAGTAATAGAATTGGGGGAACTTGTTCTGGGTAACAATGGTTGTAATTCATAGTGTCGATTTAAGCATCAACAAATGAGGATTAAACCTCGTGAAAAATGGTGAAAAAATGTGGACATACAACTCGCAATCTGATAAATCTATATAAATGGTTTGCAATTGGTAGATTTAAGATGCAAGAAAGGCGTTAAACATCAGACTTGGTGGTCTGGAGAAAGTGATTGAAACAACTGTACATGACACCCCGTAATTACTTGGTCAAAACAATCAGTGTTTCCTGGACACGGTCTCCTAAAACCAACTGGTTGGTGGCTTGGAACATTTTTTCCATATATTGGGAACAATCATTCCCAACTGACTAATATTTTTCAGAAGGGTTGAAACCACCAACCAGCCAACCCAACAATTGGAGTAAAATCGTTTATGATATATGATGATCTATGTATATTATATATAATAATACATATATATATAAGATATGTATAATATATATAATATGTATAATATATATAATACATATATATATATTATTACTATGTACATAGATATCATAGAGAGATACATATACCCAGATAGAATCATGCTGGACCGACCATGTTCTCTTGACTCCCGAGGAGGGCGGCTTTATGACCAACGCTTTCCGGGACTTCTTCGTCGCCACCCTGGGCTGTGTCTGCGTGGGGCTGCTGCTGTGCCCAGCCTTTGTCTGGGCGGAGGCGATCCCGGCGCCACCAATTCAACCACCAACCAGTCATGAAGAGGGGATGAAACCAGGAAAAATGGGGGCATGAAACCAACCACAGTACATATATATATATATAGATATATAGATACTATATAGATACACATATAGATACACAGCATATATATATATATAGATACACATATAGATACACAGTATATATATATGTATATAGATACACATATAGATACACAATATATATATAAATACACATATAGAGACACAGTATATATATATGTATATAGATACACATACATATTTATAATATATATATATATATGTATACATATATATATACATGTAATCTCATGGGATATGAAAAATGGGATAACCCCCCTCAGCCAGTCGACCCCTGCCTCCCCGAATGATGGTTTTCGGTTGATCGGTCACCAAAGATGGGGGAATTGGTTGAGTCCCAATGAGAATGGGGATTAAACAAACACAAATGCTATGTGGTCTATGGGTATTAATGGTCCCATAATGGGATGTGATTAATTAAACCAATTATTAAACCATATGGGGCTTCAGAATCCATAATGGGGATCTAATGAATATAGTGGGTATACTGATGATTTGTTATTGGGATCCAATGGGGATCTCGTTATCGCGTTGCTTTGATAACTTGCAACCGTGCAGAGTAGTATAGCTCCTCTAATGATTTCCGATGATTGTGTGGGTACTATATTAAGTCATATAAACTCTCATTTCCCATGGGTTTACACAGCAAAACACCATACTGTGAAGGAACTTTACTTTCGCATACTTTCCCAAGCGCTCTCGATTTCCAGATACTGTATAGAACCCCTGTGTAGGAATTGTATTTCATAAGCAATAAAGCACCTGGATAGCCTAGCAACAGACCCCCAACTGACGTCATCCCGCATTTCCCACTATATAATCATGTTGGTTCATCAGCTGTATACGATATAGGTATACACAGTACTAGTGTATATATATATACTATAGTATATATATATATATATATTAGTATATACTAGATTATACTAGTAATTACTAGTATATATATATATTCTACTAAGATGAACCAAAGGTTCGAGCAGACTTCGATGTCATTCCATGTCCCATCCATTTGGGCCAGGTGGACCGCAGCTGGTCGTGGCCCACGGAAGAGATGGAGAGCCGCACCCACGTGTACCGAAGCTGGGATCACCATGGGACCCGTCAATTTTGGTGGGTTTCATGCTGAGACATGCGGAAAAATGATGGGTGAAATCACCAGAAATTCATGATCTGGAACTATCTAGAACTATCATGGGGTTAGAATGGGATATTCATGAACTATGAATGATATGAAATATGAAATCCCATGGGATATGAATATGGAAGAATAAAAAGGGATCATTAATGGGAGGTGAATATTAGATATAAAAGGGGATATGAATACGGAATAACATCATAGGATTTCTCATGATTTCTCTGATTTTCTATGGGAAACCCAGTAAAATCCACTGGTAAACTCATCAGTTTCCCTATTGAAATATGATAACCAATGATAACTATGACATTTTGGATCGTTTTGGGGTCGACACCATTTCCAAACATAGCTATATATTTGTTCGCGGTTAAATGCCAACTGAACTTAGGGACTATGCAGATGGGGTATTGAAGTCACAATTACATATAGTTGTCAACCAATCAACTGAGATGAAAGGACTGAAAGGACCCACTGATACATCGTGGACATTTTGGCAGTGCTAATATTGAGCAACGTTTTTTATTTACTGACTTGCAGACAGTATTCTTGTAGATATTCGAATACACATATACATGTTCATGCTTATTCTAGACACAATGTGGCAATCTTGAAGACGGCGACACAAAACGTGCTCCTTCCATGGCCAGGAACTCTGATGCCGGGCACCGTCATTTCGATGATCTCTGGCATCGGCGTGGCGAATAGCCTACGGAATCGCGGCATCAACGCACTGGTCGGGGTGGCGATCTCTGCGTCACTGTGACCTGGGCGAACTGGGCTGGTGGGTCCCATCCAATTTAATATTCCAATTTACATACTGTATATCTTATATCAGCTACCATGACATGTCCCTTTGTCAAAAGTCTGGTCGCTACGAACGCCTCACCCGAGCCCGTGCTCGCGGCGGTGGCTAATTATTAGATGCTTTCTTGGCCACCTGTGCCGTGTACTTTGCACCCCTCAACCGGGAAGGGGCATCGTACAGCGTTATGACACGCGATGTATCCCGTCAAAAGTTGGATTATATGCCCATATTGGTGGATGATCATCAATCCATGTTCATAACTAATTATCTAGATTAACCCCATGATATTTGGATTTCTATGTTGGGACCCGGGGCACCATTCACCCCAGGATTCATCCCTTTTTTCCTGACCCTGGCCGGAATCCATGCCTGAGGCTTCCTCCCTTGGTGAACAGCGGAATCTATTTGGCCTGGGGCTTCTTAGTGGTGGATCCCTCGGTGGCGCAGGATCGCTTCTACCGTGGACCCTTGATCCAAGTGTGGAGCAAAAAATGGGGGGGCCAAAGTGGATGGACTTTGGGATGGACTTTGGGATATAGAACCCGTAGAAACCAGTAAAAATAAAATATGTAAAAATTGGGAGTGATCCAGGGCAAATGGGGATTTCACCAGCCACAATGGTAGTTTTAACATGTTTTAACATCAAACAATGGTCTTAGCATCAGATTATGGGGTACCTTATTTTCAGACACATGTGGGGATGAGTTCAGCCTGTTTTCTTGATAAGGTGTAACAGGACCATATCAAACACAACACTTTGGTAAAGTTTTGGTGACGAGCTATATGAACCAGCAGTTTTCTGGGTTTTGATTTTGAAACTGCATGAAATTGTGGGTAATCCGCTGTGTGTGGATTGCTGGGCCAACATAGAATGGTGATAATATTATGTATATATTGCAACATCACGCTACTTGGAATATATGTCACACAGATACAATGGCTTGTTGTATATGGCTTGTATGTTGTAAAATCTCAAATTCCCGTCACAGTTTCAACATCCAAGGATGGATTAGTTTCCTGTTGACCATGATCAACGTGCTGGGAGTGATCTTGAGTTCGGCCCTCTGGTTTCGTCTCCGTGGTGTAGGGGAAGCCACGAAGCATGCAACGCGAGGGCCGACGCTTTCTAGGCCGTCACAAGACGAGACGGAAAGCCTCAGCATATCGTTGTTGGAAACGTGAATGAAACAAGGCACGATTTGAAACCTGGGGATGATCATTATCATTATAAATCATATATCCATATATATATCCATATAGCTTGTTGGCTTTAAACTGTAGGGGAAAGTTGGATGGAATATTGTATGTATACAATAGATATTGTGACTGATCGCGATGAAAGCTGTTTCTTTGAACATGATGGAACACGTATAATTGTCATATCACTTGGCACCAGAAACAAACATAATCAAATTGTTTCCAGGCATAATATATGGCTGGGATAGCAAGCATCCTCAAGGGCGCCAACCAGCGTCTTTCCACCGTTTGAAAGGAGAGGGACAGAGCCGTCCAACCCTTCATTGGGGCGAAGGGCAAAGACCCCAGCGTCCTCATAGCTTCAAGAAAAAATAGTGCCCTAGAGAGGTTTGGACCGGGTTGATGGGCGATGAAATTATATAAAATGATCGTGGGATAGACTTTGTAAATCTTTGTATCATGAATGCAACTTGCAACCGTCATCCTGGCTCTAGGAACATGTGTCCACACATCGTTGTTTTGAATCAGCCAGTAAAGTGAAGCACTTGGCCTGAGGTGTCTTGTTTCTGTGATGTTCAACATTCTGCAGACTGGGGAAGATATGTGTTAATACAGGCACAAATGCGCGCCATTTTTCTCTCGAGGATTCCCTATACCTAATACCTGTACCTCTTGCCTCCAAGTGTCCTGTGTTGCCCTGCTCCCATTGCAGGCTTTTGAGTCCTACCATTTCTCTGCGAGAAAAAAAGGGACCGCCACACTCCGGGCCAACTGACGGGTCGATTAATTGGAATTTGGTTGGGGAATGGGGGGTCAAACTGAGCTGCACACCAAGATTTAATACTTAGCCGCTGAACCCGCATTTTCGAATTGGACTAATCTATAATACAGAACTTTGGGATGCTGTGATAGCACCAGCTCCGTTTTCCAGGGTAAATGTATTGTAAATGTGGTCAAAGTCACCATACGCTTAAAACAAATCCATTGCAATCCACTATAATAATAATAAATAAATATATATATATATAACATGTATAATCCACGGTAATCATCTATAATCCATTGTAATCAATTCAAGCAACCATAACAAGAATCCTATCTATGTGGATGTCATCTAAGTGTCCGAGTTCAGCTGTTTCGCGTCCAGTCCGATAGTCCCATTGCGTCGATTGCAAATTCATCGATTGATTGCCATGGCTGCCGTCGACGTGCAGCATCCTGTGGAAACAACTTACGTCCCTGCACCCTGGCGAGACCTCCCCATGTGGCGATTGGCCGAATGGCCGCCCAACCGAGCAGTGGCTGCGATCCAGCCCTGTTGGTTGATGATGATATTACTAGCCTTCCTAGCCAATAAAAATCTGTAGATGTTCGGGATCATCATCCAGGAACTGAGAATCCCGTTCTTATCCAGCAACTTTTTCATGGACATTTCAGGCTTTGAACGATGCTCAACTTTCAATGTAATGTGGTAAACCCTTGGCCATAAACCATCCCTAATATGAAGTGGGTTGCAAAACTCATCCCAAATGATAGGTGTATTATTGGGTCTACGGCATAATATTAATATATTGTATATTACAATTATTACAACATATTATAAACCAGTAACATCCAGTAACCGCCTATTTTAATTCCATTGTACCCATAATTAAGTGATATGAAGTCCATGGAATGATTGGTTGTTCCCAGTCAGTCTCCATCATTAAGTGATATGGTGGTCATAATTGATATAATTATCCCATTGCCATCATACACAATTGATCACATTTATCACAATTGGACTAAGTGATTAAGTACAATCTGGTGATATTAAGCGTTAATTAAATTTATGATATTTTGTTCAAATAAATTAAACAATTTTATAAGTGTTAATTGGATATCAGTGATACTTTCTGTAAGTGATTCGCCAAGGCCGGGCCCTTGAAGCGAAGCGAGTCCCAAGTGTTGAAACAGATGAAGGCCGGCCGGTGTCCAAAGGTTTCAACCTTGGGAGCCAACGTTGAAGATTGGGATGGATAGTGAGGTTAATGATGGTTGATCAACCACCACAATCAACCATAATGTTAATGGTTGATGAATTATTGATGTTGATTGGTATGATTGATTATGATATATGATTAAGAATGGTGATATGGTGATGAATCATGGTCATGAATCAATGATGAGTATTGGGATTACCCTCCGGTAATCAAACATGGCTGGGAAATCCACTCTAAATGGAGGTTTATAGCTGGGAAAGTCAACCAGAGTGATTTTCCAGCTAGCCACGTTTGATTACCGGAGGATAGTTGGATGGTTAATTTCAAGTCCATTTCTGGGAAGAGAGTTTGTTTCGATTGATTGGAGAAGTCAGCAAATCAGAAATCAATCGAAACTAGTTATTATGGCAATCATCCTCAAAGATATGTATATCTTACAGTATATAGCATATGGCTATGTTGTATGATATTTAACTATTTTGTATTGTATTAAATTATACCTTTTTATATATTATATTATATTATGTTAAATTATATTATATTAAATTATATTAAATTATATTATATTAAATTATATTATATTAAATTCTATTATATTTAAATTTAATAAATTATATATTGTATATTACATATTATATATTATATATTATATTTTATCTTATATTATATTATATTATATTGTATTATATTATATTGTATTATATTATATTGTTTTAAATTATATATTATTATATTGTATTATATTGTATTATATTATTATATTATATTATATTATATTAGACTATATCAGATTATATCAGATTACATTAGATTATATTAGATTATATTAGATTATATCAGATTATATTAGATTATATTAGATTATATTAGATTATATTTCATTATATTATATTATATATACGTAGTATACTTCATACGTTATGAGATGTTATGATATGATATGATATAATACTATTTAACACTATACAGTACTCATCCATATATATATATTTATATACACACTGTAATATGTACATCAGACAATGTAATATCATATGATACAATGGCAGTACAATAAAACACAATATAATGTGACAACTCACTGATTGTCATCATCAGGTGGAACAAGTGCAGCAGAGGCTCTTCCATCAACAGGAACCCGTGAGGAAACTCTTAGATCCTCGGTGTATCGGGGACGGGTGACACGGCTAGAAACTCATGTTTGTTTCTCTACAATTTCGACGAATATACATATGTATATGTTATAATAAAACATATACATATATGTTCGTCAATATGTTTTACCCTATCAACACCCAGCTACGTTTCTTTTTAACAAAGTACAGTACTGTAGATAAAGCAGAACATCTAAAACTAATTAGCCGCTAGTCACGATAGAAAAGTTACGTAGCAACCCATTGAGAACCTTATATTTGCCTGGAACGATCGAGTATAACCCCAGTACCAATCAATTACCCTCTGGTTATTTAACATAGCCATGGAAAATTGCCCATTTATAGATGGTTTACCTATTAAAAATGGTGATTTTCCATGGCTATGTTAGTCATAACCAGATGGTAGTAATTCCCCATGTCCCACAATCCCAGGAAGAATTCCAGTGGATGCCATTCACGACTGGGTGATGCCCCCAAAAAAGTGGTGTCCGTATGTGTCCGTCGCTGTTTTTGCAAGCATTTTTTTTGATGCCCTCTGGTCAACTAACATAACTATGGAAAATCACAATGTTTAATATGTAAATCAGCTATAAATTGCCATTTTCAATAGCTATGTTAGTTTACCAGAGGGTAACTCTGCCCATGTCAAGTTGACCTTTCGACTGGCTGCGTCAAAACTGCACCAAGGATGAGACCGATTCCCTGTTGTCAGCTGCAGCAGTAGATCGGGTAGCAGCATTGGAGGTCATTGAGCAGCAGCAGAGGCTTAGCTGGAAATGGAGCTGGTTGTTCCAGCCATTGGAGTAAAAACCAGCCGCATGCTATGAGGATGTAATAGGTAGATAGGTATGATGGGTACAGTATATTGTTTTGAGGAGATATAACCAACAATGCATGATTAAATGCATAGATAATCTGCGTCTATACCAGTCCAGTAGTTGGGCATTGTTGGGAACACAGCCAGCAATGAATCAGGAAAGCAGCAAGGAATATTGGCCGCTTGGCAGTGCGGTTGTGAGCTGTTCGGGTGGAGTCTTCGTTCTTAAGACCTGTCAATTGCCTGAGCATGTCCCTTGACATCAACCGATGGCCCAATGTTCACTGCATTTGTCAAAAGGAACATCTACAGACCAAACAAAAAACATGTTTTGTTCCATCAATTCGAGAAGGTTCTGGTTTCCGGCGAAAATTCCTCAAAGCCATTCTGGGAGATGTAGGTCAATCAAACCAGACACAGCTGTCAAGTAGACCTGCAATATCTCAGGCATGAACAATCCACAGGTTCTGTCGATCTGTCAGAAAGTGCTGGGTTCCCACATTAAATCCCCGAGTTTTGTTGGTTCTACCCCATCCCAACAAATTATTTGGGTTGTCTGAAAATAGGGTACTCCAAGAATTTCAGGAAGCATCAGTTTCTCTGTAAACACGCCCGTGACTGCGGGGTTAATACCCCCGTCTTCAGGTATCACACCCAAACATCTAGATTCTGGATATTGTTGCTCTTAAATCCAATTACTTGTATTTATATATATATATATATACACAATTATATCATATCCATTAGGTATCCCCAATATATCCTCATTTGATTGCCAATAAAAACATCACAGTATATCTCCATGAAAATGTGCTAATCTGCAGCCAAGGTGAAGATTTGATGGAAGATATGCTGTGCCTGGACTCCTTAGCAAACCTTTTCCAGGAAGATCGCCAGGTGCCCATTGGGAGTCGATTTTCATGGGGATTTCATGGGATAGAACTGGGATGATATAAGTTTGGCTGAAAATGCTTGGACTATGTTGGACTAACCCCCCCAGTTCCAGCCATTTTAACATTGAAAGATCCCAATGGATTTGGGGCTTACCCATTTTTCAGACAAGACCCACATAAATGGAGCATGGACCGGCTTCAAATTTCTTGGCTGAACACATGGTCCAACTTTGATGGTTTTCGCATGGCATGGAGGAGAGCCACATTTTGAGGTTCCAAGCCCAGTGTGGGAGCACAGGGTGGTACCCCCCAGTTGTAGGTTGCTTTATATAATCCCATTAACATCCGTTAACTATAAATATAACCCCCATTAACCCACATTAACTCTAGTTATTTTGGCCCTCAGTTTTGCATAGCCTTCGATAGTCGAACATAGCCACCAAAATAAGCATGTTCAAGAGGAAAACCGTCTACAAGTGAGCACACAAGGATTTTCCATTGCCGATTTTCTGAACAGGGCAGCAATTGTTCAACTAGATCTTACTCCACGCTTGTTAGTTACACCCACTAGAAGTCATTCACCCACCTTTCCAACAGCAGTAAGGGTTCCAATTCAGGTAGTAAACCCAATAATAATTACCGCATTCAACCAATGGTTACCTGGTGGTTCGGGGTGGTGGCTTGGAGTTGTGGGCGTAGCAGCCCAGTTCGTGATTTTCCCATCATATATCTTCACTGGGGAATACTGGGATTCTAAACCGCCAGCCCAGACGATCACTTAACCATTTGTGGAAAAGTCATGATTATAAAGTTTAAAGAACAAATCGTTGGATATGGTTGTGTTTGTCATGATTATGGCTTAGTAACAGAGCTGTTAATAACAGTGGTTCACACAATCATGAATAGCTCACTTGCCACGGTCAAATAGCTGGCTTAGTGCTGTGTTTGTGTCAACCAATGTTATATATGTTGTTGTTACATATTGTTACCATATATTGTTGCCATATGCTCACTAAACGTAATTAATCAATTTACTGACAGTTTTAAGGCTAATTGATGATCATAATATCATTTATTGAAAAACCAATCATTCTGATCATTGATTCACTGAGCAATATTATTGATACAGGGATTAGTGGCCAGTTATATTCGACAATATAACTATTGATATAATCCCGTATTATCATATATATGATTGATATCATTGATATCATTTGAAACAACTCCCAAAAAATTAGACACGTGATTTATCACTTAGTGTGATTTTAGTACCCCATTGATAGATCACTGTTTTAGTGGGATAAACACCCCATACTACCATATTATATTTATAGTATCTATCTTTTTGTGGTTACTATAATAACTGTGGCCCTCTGCACTCCGTGGCCAGGTGGACTCTGCAAAGTCCATGCTGATGAAGCGACGGAAGGAGTTGGAGGCGAGGTAAACACCGGGGGGGCCATATAGAAACATATCAAGATATGTATTTAACATGTGGTGTACATGTTTTTACTCTAAGTTTTCCTTAATCTAAGGCAATCTAAGATTGTTCTTGTTTTCGGGATATCTGGAAACTATGGATGGCAAAATGAATGTAACATGATGTGAAACGGGTGTGTCGTGTTTTAAAAATTATCATTTTCCCAATATTTTCCCATTCAAATGCTAACATGTGTTTGTCTGAAAAAAATGTTGCATACCCAAATTGCAATTTGATTTCATGGTGGAAAATGATGATGCACCACGAGATTCTGGGGTTCCAAGTTTCGACACAACCACATATATACGTATATATATATACATATAAATACACGTATATATATATATATATAATACCAAGTTTTTATACTTCCATAGTCGGAATGTAACCTCCAATACTTCACAACACATTTGGATTCTGCCAGTAAACAAATGTTGGGGATAAGCCACAGACAATGGAGAAACAACTAAAACTAATGCCTGGAAAGTTTGGTTGTTTCAAAGAGTTTGCAATTTTGCCAATATAGTGTATATTAATATTATTTACTAGTATATACTACACATACATACATATTTTGTTGATGCTGATCAAAATGAATGTTTGTTTCAGGGAGATGAAACCACCAATCAGAATCTGTCAGCTTATTTCCTAAGCAAAAAACGCAGGTTCTTAGATAGGGTTTAGCTGGTCAGGGGAAAAAACACATATGGCGATGTAAGGTGAGCTAAACGGAACATTTTTCCCCAAACAGTGTCGCCCGGTGATTAATCGAGGTGATAGCTGGCGCGTCCGGCATTTTCCCTTTAAATTTCCGCACAAAATGGCTCTTGTGAAATGTCCATGTGCATTTCGACTGCGCAGGCTCGCACAAAACAGCGGCCCCGAGATTAGCGTCCGGCATTTTCCCTGTAAATTTCCATACAAAATGGCTCTGGTGAAATGTCCGTGTGCATTTCGACTGCGCAGGCTCGCGCAAACCGGGTGTCGCGGGATTAGCGGCCGGCATTTCCCCTGTAAATCTCCGCAGAAAATGGCTCCTGTGCAATGTTCATGTGTATTTCGACTGCGCAGGCTCGCACAAAGTGTGCTTCCTGGTCTTGGGATCGGTTTTCCGCCTCAACATCAGCATCTTCCTCCTCCCCCCCAACATCCACATCATCATCTTCCTCTCATCATCACCATCATCACCATCATCACCATCATCACCATCATCATCACCATCATCACCATCATCATCATCATCATAACATCAGCATCATCGTCATTGTCTTCGTCATCGTCATTCCCATCCTCATCCTCGCCCTCATCCATCATCATCATCATCATCATCATCATCATGATAGTCATTATCATCATGATAGTCATCATCATGATAGTCATCATCATCATCATCATCATCATCACCATCATCATCATCATGATAGTCATCATCACCATCACCATCATCATCATCGCCATCATTTTCATCATCATCATCATAATAATAGTCATCATCATCATCATCACCATCATCATCATCAACAACATCACCACCCTCATCAACATTATTCTCAACATTAAGATCATCATCAACATTAGAATACATTATCCTTTTACTCCCCCCGTACTGTTTGGGGTCTCTTGCCAGGATAATTTCTAAATATACTATATATATAATAGTACGTTGGTATTGGTTGTTTTGTTGACTACGCGTACTTAAATTACTCATGTCATGTTTGTTGTTTATTTGTTTGTTGTTGTTGTTGTTTTTTTGCGTGTGTAATTTGTGTACCTAGCCGTGCTGCCCTGACATTACCTTTTCAATTATTTTAAGTTTGCAACTTTTGGGCATTCAGTGCTGAACATTTCAAGAGGGCCTTCAATGACCCATTACTTATATGCCAAATACCCCATGGTTGCCCAATAAAAAAAATCAGACAATCATGCTGGGCAGTTTCTGTTTTGCACATTCTGCATTATTTGTTGCTGACCCTATCCGCATGTTCGCTTGTTGTATTGCCTTTCTAAATGGTGGATATCCTTGCTTTGTGTGCGCAGGCTCTAGCTCATGCAGACAAGGAGGCAGGAAAATGCAGGGGTGATGTTCTAGGATCTATATGTTTGGAAATGTTTGGAGCACGTGGTGGGTGCCAAACATTGAGGTATCACACATGGTTTTGTTGGATTTGCGTGGTGAACCATCTGCGTTTTGTCAACGTTTGTGAGCCTCAGTTGAACATTTGCCACTAGGCCTTCCTTGATTGCTATCAACCCGACAGGTGGCTCTTATATGGAAATAATCACAACAGGAAACCCCTGTTGATTCCCTCATGATATTTCACAAAACAAACAGTTAGAAAAAACATGTCACATGAAAACGCTATGGTCTATGGTTTTTTGTCAAGTCTTCCTAAAGCTATCCCTCAATCGATCAACTTGGTCGTGAACCAGGCGGCGCCTCTGGCGCCGGTCGCACCGGCGTGCGGGTGCACAGGCGATTCAACATTGTTTCCAGCCTGACAAATGCTATCAATGGGAATCTGAAGCATGAAAAATAATGTTTGAACTTAACTCTGAAGAATGCCAAAGGCAATCTGAAACATGTTTTTGTGGGAAGGGCTGATTTGGTGAACCAAGGTAATCAAATGGTACAAAGTACAAATTACATCAAATTACCCTATAGGGTTAAATAACATAGATGTGGAACACCAACAGGAAAACCCATGGAAAATGATCTACAAAATGGTGTCGGTGTTTTTTTGTTGTTTTCCACATCTATGTTAGTTTCACGTGGAGGGTATACATGGGTTTAACACCAACAAACATGGGGGTTTAATAATCAGTGATTTAGTATGATTTCATGGGATAAGACAACTGTCCTATTGTTATATATATATATGTATGTTGATACACATGTATTTACATTGGTCAATAGATTGGGATAGTTTCCGTTAAGGTAAGGTATCCCAGTAAAATGGGTATATTAACCCCATTGTCATATGATTTCCATATGATATTCTGGGATAGCTATTACAATGGAATACTATAATTATTGACAGTTATTATTCCAGTGAATCATATTATGAATCAATTGAATTCCTAGTCTCTGGCATATTATTACGATGGGTGATATATATATATATAAATACATATAATGGGATGCATATCTGTCATGGGATTTTCCATTATATATCTTGGATGGCATATATATATATGTTTTTCCGTATATATTATAATGGGATGGCATATTATATCCCATTGTAATAATATCCCATGAAACCCATGAGATACTCTCTTCATATCACTTAGGCCGGCGGCGCCGAACGAACGCCTGGCAGAGCTCAGGACGGAGAAAACTCGGGAGACGGTGGGATGGTAGTGTGATATGAGATGTCGGTATGTATTTATTTATAGTGATTCATAACATAATGATTCATACAAAATTTGTGTAAATATAGCATTATATAGCAATAGTAGTAATCACAGTAAAAAAACTTATTACAATAATGAGGAAAATAATAATGATAAAAATAAATAAAAAATAACAGTAATAACATATATATATATATACACATAAACTTATATTTGTACATAGTAGTGTATAATGCTATTAATGTCTATATAGTGATCGTGATATGTCTTGTGATATATACATCTATGTATATATATATATACATGCATACATACATACATGCATGCATGCATGCATGCATACATACGTACGTACATACATACATACATATACATAAAGTGATGTTGTCATATACATTTATATATAGATATACACATACATCTGTGTATATACAACTATTATATCTATAAAGTGATGTTCATCTAATTCTGCATATGATGTTTTATTTTAATGTTTTGATTTCAAATGGTCAAAAGTGTTTGTGTCAACATGGGGAAAACATGGGGATACTGTGTCGACATTTTTTGGTCACTTTACTTTCTGTGTCAAAATAATGAACATCGTGGCATTATAAGTAACTTTAGGCGCATGTGTGTAGATTTGGCATAATAAGCTTTGCGAATTGCGTTGCTTGAGCTGTATTGAACTTTACCGCATTTGCAGAAGCAAAACCACGTAGGCTCCAAATTCCAGAGGACATCGTTCACGTATATTCAAGTTGAAGATGTTCCAAGAATTGCTTTAAGGGATGCTTTACCGAGATGTACCATTATATCCCCATTGAAGCCTTATTAAATCCCCATTAATTCCCATCAAACCACCATCACAGTAAATCCCATCATTTCGCCTGGTTTTTTGATCACAAAAAACGGGAACATTTTCTCTAAAAAGTTCCCATCAAATCCTAGCATTTTTTCCGCCCAGGCTTCAGTTGGAGTTGACCTCCCAAACTCTTCCGCATGCATATGTGGTCCCTTGGACGCAACAAGATGGTGGATTGCACAAGATCAAGGGGAAATTCCTTGGGAAAATCTCTGTAGATCGATGTTTTCACATGTTTTCATGGGAAAATCACCTATAACTAGGGGACAATTACACAACAGATCACCACAAACGGGTTTCTCAATTGAAACAAATGGGACACGAATCTGAGATAAAGCGATGCTGTGCATGTTTTTTCTATGAATATCTGAATATCATTAACATTGCCATTTTGTGGCGTGTTTTTTAAAACAGCCCCACATCCTTTTCCCACAGAACTTGTATCAAAACCCCCACGGCAAAGAGGGGGAGAGCCCAGGCGTGTGTGTCGTGTCAATCACTAGTAGCCAGATTTGTTTATAAGAGGGCTTTACCAGACCAATCCTCCTGTTTTGCTACTGTAAATCTAAGGGTCAATTCATGTAAATTCCTATTTCTATTCATGAATCATGATGAATCCTTCCTTTCCGCCTAATTTTAAACATCCCCAGTATGAATGGTCCCAAATATTTGGTTTGAACCCTTACTAAAACATGGTTTCTGATGGGACAATTGGTTGTTGATGGTCATTTGAGCAGTGTTCAAAACCCCTGTTGGTTGGTTGATGATTGTAGGAGATTATACTACCCAATATATTGAGGATTATAATAATCATGCAATAGGGGACTCCTATTAACCAACCAGTAACCAGTATAATGGAATGACAGGGGGATTTTGAACGATGCTCATTTTTTCCCATGTCTTGTGCAGGTCAGCGGCTTCGCCCGTGGCTTGAAGAAAGAGGCCGGAATGGTCTCCGCCACTGGGTCTCCCAGATTTTCGTGAAGGGAATACGTGCGGGGTGCGGGTGCATCCCAATTAGTAAGTCGGTTATAACATATTATAACCATTTATAACCATCATATTTATCATTGGGGTATACCGATATTTCGTCACTGGGTTATATTATGGCTACTGAACTCGGATGCCAAGCAATTCCTGGAAACTTCGACTTTACATACTTCTACTAGTTTTGGATCTTGAGACTATAGCATAGCAGTGCATCAGTTTTTCCAGGAATGGTCTATATTAGGTTCCTTGCGAAAAAAAATGATTACAGGAAGCAGTTGTCTTCAACCATCAAGGGGGGTTCCCTGGACGTTTCCTGGGTACTGAGCTGCTGCCAGAGTTTGTAATCTGTTCGAAGTATTTTGTATCACTTGGAGAACCATGTCCATTAGAGTAGGTCGTATGAGCCAGTATACTCAGTATGGATTCTAAGTGATTTTATGCTTATATTCAGTGATATTCAATTTGAATTCTATCGTCAGTAGCTCATCTCACAATATACAATGTCGCTGCTTATTGCCGAGTGGGCCGTGGGTACATCAAGTATATTCCAAGAATGTCGAGGAACCATGGTCGTTTGAAGGGTAGCTACAACTGACACCCTTGCATCCCAAAGAAGCTTAACATTCCGGTACCCAGCCCAGACTTTTATGTGCTGGCTCCCAGACTCTCAAATTCTATATATAAGAGGCGACAAAAAAAATGATAGAGAATCGAATCTGGCCGTTTGCAAGTATCAACATCTGAACATATCTGAAGCATCCAAACTAAAGCCATCCATTAAAGCCATCCAAAGCCATACACGCTGACCATCCATCGGATCCATGGGCTCATTGGTCGAGGAGCTGACGCTGGAACTTCGTGGCTCCACTTTGAAGATCAACGCCTTGAGACTACCAACCCCTGAGGATTCGGGACATGCACCGTGGAGTCGGAGCAGGGGGATACTTATCAAGGGATTTATATACCTGTAATATATATAAATATATATATACCATATATATATATATATATTACATTATATTACAATGATTATGATAGTGATAGTACCCACTGTGAGGATTCCTACCATGGAATGGATGACCATACCTCATATAGTACATGCTTTGAGTATGTGGCTTTACAGGAGATACAACACAATAGGGTATAAGCGAAAATAATGAGAATAGTGTATGTATTGCCCATTGATGTATCCATTGAAGGCACATTTTCCACATCAAGGAGCCCCAAAAACCGGCGGTTTTCTGTCGGTTTTCCAGAAACGATAATTCGAAGTCAACCCAGACAACAGCATTTCGGCTGCACAGACGACTACAAGAACTGTAAACATCTACGTACGTAGACAAGGAAAATCCATGGTTTCATGTTCGGAAATGATCTACGAATGCGGGGTGTTTCCCATATCTATGTTTACAGTTTACGGGAAATTATATTTGCTGACTTTGGTTTTGCACCTGCTCGGAAGATCTGAATAACTGGTGCGAACTAAAGCTTGTCTTCTATGTTATCGTTTTGCACTTGTTGCTGCTTGGATTGCCTGTTGTTAAATGGTTTACCGCAACATTCCCGGACTTTCCTCCAAATATGTGTACTGTATATAATAGTTTATAAATATATGTATATCATTCACAATATGTCTATCCCCCAAATAGGTATACATATACATTGAAAATCATTGACATATATAATCATATATATGATTATATATATATCATATATATATATTATATTTATACTTGCTTCCGTGCAGAATGTTGGTCCCAACTGACTTTGGATCTCGTTGGACATCGTTTGTGTGTCGTATGGTCACCACCATTTTGATACGTTGAAACCCATCATTTCAACATATATATATACATACATAATTATGTATGTAGTATCATTATGCACTGACACCATCGTTTGCCCAAGAGTTCAATGGCCAAACCATGTACAAATATCTTAAGATAACTTTCAATACATGTTACAATGTTGATCCGCATAACATGATCATATATTTTGGAATTCATACCATACGGATTAAAATGTAGATGCATGGAAACTGTATCACGATTGGATGCAAAAAAATCCATGTTGGGTGTCTTTTCTGTTTTAACCACCAACTTATCGTGCTGATTCAATGTTCATCCGTATCTGAAGTTCATGGCAACATTGACACTTCGCCGTGCTGCAGTAACATACAGTCGCGGCCCAAAGGGAATGAAGGCTTGGCAGCTCTTGTTGGATTGGCTCACGCCAGTAGAGCGGGCCCGTCTCACCCGCGCAGCGGTGCGATTGTGTCGAGCAATTCAATGGGCAAGGACGGTAGCCCGGAATACTCACAGAAACATTACGTTGCCTGTATGAGTGTAAGATTTATGATTATGAGATTGGGGGGGTTGGGGTGTATTCTGATTGTTCCTCATCATTACATGCCAGATTCTTCCCCATGACCCCTGAAAGATACATATCATCACCATGTAGGTTGGTGGGGTTGAGGATATCCTGTTTGTTCATCATCATTACACGCAAGATTCTTCCCCATGACCCTTGAAGCCTTGAATTTAGGTTGGGGGTGTTTTTGGGGGGTAGCCCTGGGAGTGCGTGTGAGCTACCACTGATGATGACGATGATGATGTTCATGATGATCATGATGATGATGATGGTGATGAGCATGATGATGATGGTGATCATCATCATCATGATGATGATGGTGATGATGATGATGATGATGTTGATGATGATGATGGTGACGATGGTGATGTTGAGGCTGATGATGATGATGATGATGACAAGCATGATGATGATGATGGTGACGAGCATGATGATGATGATGATGATGATGATGAGCATGATGATGATGATGATCATGATGATGATGATTATTATGATTATGATGATGATGATGATTTTTTCCCGTCCGGGCAAACGATGGCCTTTGACCGATAGAATATACGCGCTGACACCATTGTTTGCCCAAGAGTTTAATGGCCACAACATGTACATATATCTTAAGATAACTTTCAACACATGTTACAATGTTGATCCGCATAACATGATCATATATTTTGGAATTCATACCATACGGATTAAAATGTAGATGCATGGAAACTGTATCACGATTGGATGCAAAAAAATCCATGTTGGGTGTCTTTTCTGTTTTAACCACCAACTTATCGTGCTGATTCAATGTTCATCCGTATCTGAAGTTCATGGCAACATTGACACTTCGCCGTGCTGCAGTAACATACAGTCGCGGCCCAAAGGGAATGAAGGCTTGGCAGCTCTTGTTGGATTGGCTCACGCCAGTAGAGCGGGCCCGTCTCACCCGCGCAGCGGTGCGATTGTGTCGAGCAATTCAATGGGCAAGGACGGTAGCCCGGAATACTCACAGAAACATTACCTTGCCTGTATGAGCATAAGATTTATGATTATGAGATTGGGGGGGTTGGGGTGTATTCTGATTGTTCCTCATCATTACATGCCAGATTCTTCCCCATGACCCCTGAAAGATACATATCATCACCATGTAGGTTGGTGGGGTTGAGGATATCCTGTTTGTTCATCATCATTACTCGCAAGATTCTTCCCCATGACCCTTGAAGCCTTGATGACATTACCATTTAGGTTGGGGGTGTTTTTTGGGGGTAGCCCTGGGAGTGCGTGTGAGCTACCACATCCCCAGTTGTATGTTGCTGATGATGACGTTCATGATGATCATGATGATGATGATGATGGTGATGAGCATGATGATGATGGTGATGATGATGATGATGATGATGATGATGTTGATGTTGAGGCTGATGATGATGATGGTGATGATGATGATGATGTTGATGATGATGATGATGGTGGTGATGATGATGATGGTGATGTTGAGGCTGCTGCTGCTGCTGATGATGATGATGATGATGAGCATGATGATGATGATGATGATGATGATGATGATCATGATGATGATGATGATGATTTTTCCCGTCCGGGCAAACGATGGCTTTTGACCGATAGAATATACGCGCTGACACCATTGTTTGCCCAAGAGTTCAATGGCCACAACATGTACATATATCTTAAGATAACTTTCAACACATGTTGATCTGCAAAACATGATCATATATTTTGGAATATTGGTCATACCATACGGATTAAAATTTGTAGATGCATGGAAACTGTATCACGATTGGATGCATAAAATTCCATGTTGGGTTTCTTTTCTGTTTTAACAACCAACTAATTAGCTCTGCTCTTTATTAGTATCATCACCATTAAAGGTGTACAAACATACACATTAGATATCATGATATGCCGACTATTCCTACGCTTTATCCGACACACCTTTCGTCCGTCGTGGCGCGTCCTAGGAGTCCGCCTTTCTGGAGCGAACCTTGAGACGAGCTCCGACGGTGGAGGATCTCTGGGGGATTTCACGGGAGTTCCCTGGCGGATATGAGGCCTGAGAGTGATATCAATATACCAATAATAGGTATTGGTTTATACATCATACTGTATATCCGGTTGGGGATCATGTTGGATATTGACATACATAATGTGATAAATATAACCTACATTAACATGCGTACCTTTCTATGTAGAACCCCCAAAAAACCAACGCTATCAAGTTCAGCCACACATATGGTAGCAACATAGAACAAATATGTTTGCTGATCCCCAAAGACTGGTCATGTTTTGGAGGTCGCTCGTTTTGAACCATACTCATGTGTCGCTATAACCCATGAGACTGTGCTTGCATCATGAACCATAGTTACAGGAAATGTAGTTTGCGGTAATTGTAGAGGCTCAGCAACTGACCTGTTTGGGGCCCATTGCTTGTGGAATTTACATTTGATATTCAAAATTTCATCACCTACGGACCGCTCTGGAACATGAAGCGCCGTGAAGACTTGATATTCGAAGCGGATCAGATACCAAGATGGCCCTGATGTATGCTCAACCGACGTTGCTCTCTCACTGTCTTATATCATATTACATATATTTATATATATATACACAATAAATAAATATATAATTATATATGTATATATACGTATATATATATATTCCCCACACAGTGTGTCCACACTGAGGGGTTCTTACGGTAAGTGTTAAGGCCCGGTGTTTAATTGAGGTGGTATCCGACGCGTCCGGCATTTTCCCTTTAAATTTCCGCACAAAATGGCTCTTGGGAAATGTCCATGTGCATTTCGACTGCGCAGGCTCCCACAAAACAGTGGCCCCGAGATTAGCGTCCGGCATTTTCTCTGAACATTTCAGCACAAAATAGCTCTTGTGAAATGTCCGTGTGCATTTCGACTGCGCAGGCTCGCACAAAACGAGACTTCTCATACAGAAATCTTGCCAAGAGACCTCTTATGAATATTTTATTCATGCAGAGATCTTGCCAAGAGACCTCTTACAGAGATCTTGCCAACAGAGCTCTTATAGAGATCTTTTACAGAGACCTGGTGAAGAGAGCAGCGATCTTTCTCAGTGATCTGTGATGAGAGCTTGAACAGAGATCTTACTTTGAGGTCCCTCACAGAGATCTTGGCCAGAGGTCTTGCCAGGAGACCTCTTCAAGAGATCTGTGCAGAAAGAGCTCTTATAGAGATCTTGTACAGAGATCTTGCCGAGAGCCCTTTTTTGGAGATCTTGTACAGAGACCTACCTGGTGAAGAGAGCAGAGGTCTTGCTCAGAGATCATTAATAGATAGCTTGCACAGAGATCTTATTTTGAGATCCCTTGCGAAGATCTTCTGCGGAGATCTCCTATAGACAACTTGTACAGATAGCCTTACACAGGGATCTTGCACAGCAGCTTCTGCAGGGAACCTCTCCACGAGATCTTGCCCACGATCTTCTACAGAGATCTTCGCAAAGGGAACTTGCAGAATCTGACCTGGTATCTCTTCTTTTCACTACTAGCGTCGCTCTGGTCCTGCTAGCTTGCAGCCACTGATGGTTTTAGGTCCTTTCCACCTTGCTCTTTAGAATCCAAACTACACACTGTTTGGGGGTCTCTTGCCGGAATAATATAATATTTTTTCTAAGGTGTTTCACTGCGTTTTTGGTTTGATCCGTTTTGTCTCTCTGAAATCTTGTGACCAAAGCGTTTTGTGGATCTTCGATTACAACATACTCCAACTGTTTCGTCAGGATAACCACAATAAAGGTTCCTGCATATTCACATGTCAGAGTCCGAATTCCAAACAAGTGTCCCAGAATTGCACGAAGGGAATATCTACAAAATCATGCGAAAACCAATTGTTTCCGGTCGTTTTTTTACCCAGATTCTCGAGACATGGAATATTTACGAACATTTATCTGAAACACGACTCAAATTTAGGTAAATACACTTTACCTCCGGCATATTTATCAAACATATTTATACACAACCTATGGTTGTTTGAAAAACATGTACATATATATATATATATAGAGAAAACACATACAACCTACACATATCCATCATATATTTGCTGAAAAAACTGATGGGTTTCAGGACTTCATGGCAGTGGGACGAGGCGTCTTCGGCACGGAAGACCCAGCCGGTTCCAGATGGGCGCCCAACTTATAGCCCTTTTTCATGGTAAGTAACAGAAAATGATGGAAACAACGCTGAGTTCATAGTCAAAGAGGTTGTAGTTTGGTATTCGTGGTATATATTGTTCAAAATGATTGGATTCTATTCTACAGCCACACTTCAGAATGGTGTAGTGGTGAAATAACCATAGATAACTATGGTCAACAACCAGGGTATTGACCATTTTCCATATATTGGGTTTAGATATGATTTGTTTGATATTCAAAGACAAACAACTTTGTGGGTCGGTTGGTGCCCTGGTCTTCACCAACACCTTCCAGCATTTGGGCTTTGGACGGATGGTTTCGATAGGTACTTGAGCAGGGGTCAACAACTAATTATAGGTATAACAATCAAAGCCGTTAATGAATTCATAATCCAAAGGTTGTAATTGATCAATGGTGGGTGCAGGAAATGCTTTCATTATGCAGTAGTCGGATCGTGATGGTTGTGAGTGGTTTCTGGTTCCTGATTCTGTCAACTCCATCAGTACATATATATATATATGTATATATATATATGTGTGTGTGATATGTATTATTTGATGCTGTAATATGTACATGCATATAATCATATATAATATATATATATATATTTGTTTGTCTGACAGGGAATTTCACAAAATCCCATGGTAGTCGATCATCGTTTTCTCCATTTGAATAACGCCCATGTTCCGCTTAGGTTGTTTGATTGGACCTGCTTTCCTCACCTGGAATGTTCCAAAGAATATGCAACCCGCATTGGTCGAGCGAAACATGCAGTCTAGCGCGTCTAATCAAAACAAATTATCGGTTCAGTAATGAAGTTCAGTATTTCGCTCCTCGCATGTCCCAACGTGGTGTTTGCTCCATTTTCTTTTTTGCACATATTCTTTTCTGCCCTGGATCTCCTTTTGCTAGCTCAATTTCCTTTCTCATTTGCTCAGATCCCAGTCGAAGTGGTTCGAATCTACATTCTTCTGCTGCGGTAATATGCGGTAATCAACTGTGTTTCTTTTGAAATCTACATATTTCATGGTGAAAGTCAGTATGTTGCTGAAATCCCCCTTTGCGAACTCCTAGGATAGAATGTTCTTGATTCTTGATGGTTACAAATCACAATGTTTACCGCTAAGATCCCCAGTGATGGTGAATCCCATTTTTTCTGAACTCCCTGTTCTTCACCATTTTTGTTGGTAAGATCCCCATTTTGCATGGTACAGGATGGTGTCCCCTCATCTATAATCTATAAGTTGGTTTAGTTTCACCCCATGAAAGCTAGTTGGTTATATCAAATTATATCATAAACCATAGGACCATAGGATTCAGCCACAGCCATATCTCAACTGAACGCTGAAGGGGGCGTAACCTCTAAGGTCAGATCCGCGAGGCCATCAAGTTGCCCATGGACGTGGACAGATCGAAGATTCAGGCGCACTCGAGATCCCAAGCGGGGGGATGATTGAACATGAGCATTTCATGGGGATTCCATGGTGATTTTATTGGGGTATCATGGTGTTTCAGTATTTAACGTGATTTAATCCTCAATCATGCGGATTTTAGGGTGACTTAAACTATGAAACATGGATATTTTATGGGGACTCCACTGACAATCTTTTCGTTGTCATGTGATTTAATGGGATTTATACCGTCTATATCAACCTTTGTGATTGGAGTGAGGGTCATAAGGGTCAGCTTTGAAAGCCCTGAAATGAATTTCCAAAGCTTCTTCAATACCCATGAATCTTCAACCAATGAACAATTGGGTTATTTCTATACTGATACTGGAACTAACTACTAGCCAATTATATAATATATAACCATTTAATTTATATAAATATTAACAATTTATTCACCATAATAACGCCTTATATTAACCATATATTAACCATTTATAATTAAAAAACCTTTGTTGGCCCAATATCCAATGAATCTTCCCTTGGCTCTCGAGGCCACCTGTGTGGATGGCCAGCTGCGCATCACCTTGCCGCGGCAGCGGCAGCCGCGGAGGCGCTGTGGCCGTGGTGAAGGGTGCAACAGGTGTTGTGGGGATGACAACTAGGAATCCTTATGGGATATGGTTATAAACCATTGTTTTTTTTATGGGGATGATAACTATGATAACCATTGTTTTATATTATGTAATATGGAGATGAACCATTGTTTTATATGGGGATGGATCGTTACCCCTATGAATTGCCGGCTATTTTTGGGGATGAAGATCCATTTACTAGCTATTTCATGGTGTTCACATACGAGTACCAGGGTTTTGACCCATAGCCATAAAACTATCCAAAATGGTTGTTCAACAATTTTTTGATATACCTGAAATTACCTGAATATACCCGATGTATCCTGATATAATCATCAAAAAACATATTGCACGAACAACTTGGATGTGCAGTGATGTGGATGATTTTTAGCACCTTCATGGCGGACTACTGTAATAAAACGAGAGCGCATTCAATCTGGCTTGGATGCTGTGACTAATCCAGATTGGCGATGTTCCCCCGAGGGAAATCGACCTACTCTACCATGAATCTGATGCATGTCCTTATGGGCTCAAATAATATGAGAATTTTCCCATGACATGGCCTTTTGAAGCAGGAAACGTTGAAAAACATGCGAAGTGAATTCCTAAAAATCATCTACTGCGATTTCATGAATTTCATGTTTGGACAAATTTGGTCCCATAAAAACTGTGATCAAACATTGGTCCTTTGAGCCTGGTTTGTCCATATTTGGATGGGATCTGCATTTAGAAACCAGAAACTTGGCGACATCTTGTTCCCATCCAGCGACCTTTGGTCAACAAAAATCAAGATCAATTGTGTCTGGGTATGGGAAATTCCTATATACCAATATCTACCGTACTGGGCCCTGCAGTTATATATACATTTATGGTAGGCAACATACTCATGTCTGCTGTTACAGCAAAGGAATGTGTTGTTCCGTAGTGTACCAGTCTGGCAAGCCAAAGAAAACATGTTCCAAATTCCAAATGTATTTTTTTCGTTTTTGAATATTGTTGGCATTTCATGATCCAGAACCGATCACTTTGGTTTTCTTTTGGGAACCACCCGCCTTCTCTTCCTCTGGTTGCCATGTCGCCGTCACAGGCCACCACAATTTTCCTGGTGAGGAAGCTCCTCCCAGCACCTGGGCACCAAATTCTGGGTTCTTTTGAGCCACAGAAAGTTGGATTTTATGTTTTATACCCCCAAATGCGGACTGATGCAACTCAAATATACGAAAAAAATGGGACTGTAACATACTTTGAGTAGCAAGCAAAGGGATATACCAACTGAATTTTGGACTCCACACTGAGCAGTTGGAATGGTTTATATAAATACAAAAAATGACGAGTTCAGTGGGCCCAAGCATCGTATCGTTAATTTTGACCCGTACTCATGTGAGAAACTCGCCTGGATGTCATGATTTGAGTTTGCCCCTGCTGTTGAGTCCAACATGCTGTTGCCTTTAAATGCCTTTAAGAGATTCCCCTTTGAAGCCAATCCTCTCCAGCTTTTCCACTGAGGTCAGACTATAGATGAATTTGTACAGCTGAAAATTGATGGCTGAAAGCATCCAGCAATTGTGTCATTCGTCACGCAACCCAAAAGAAATCAACCTATCTATGCAGAGATCAAGACCCGGTGGCAATGAAAATGGAGGGTGGGAGGCTTTGGCACATTCTAGCTTTGATTCATTTATCTTGACTACATTTGGATACAATACATGAGGATTCTTCCATAATATGTGACTTCTTATTGGTTATCATTCCAATATCAGGCATGGACGTCCCTGGATCAATAGGGTTTCTGATAATCATTACTAGGAATCTATTATGACTATGGGAAATAATCCTATTATGTGAACCTTGTCCACTAGCCATGTATAGCCGGGCTTGCCATCAAGAATCTATTTCGGAGATGACGGGACACGGGGTTCCGATATTTGTTCCCACGCAGCAAGGCCAACGAAGGAACAGAGCACTGATGCTTTCATCCACAAAACAGCCTTCTGGCATTCATAAAGATGGGTTCTGATTTGGCGGCTTCTGGAACAGAGCCATTGTACAGGAAAACAGGCCCATCACTCGATCAAATTCGTTATCAAGAGGATTGCTTTGCTTGCCAGCAACCTTGTCAGATCCCCTCATAACACGAGTGTCTTTGCTGAATGAACATGTTGCCAAACTTGACCTCGCCATTGCTCAGCGGCATTGCTGAACCCCTCCTTTAAGCCATCTCTGGTATTTTAAACCAAACAGCTTTGACGCCCATGAATATGACTCCTACAGTATTGGTTTCTTGGCTATTTTCTGTTCCTTTGTATTTTTTGAATATACAGATGCAACCACGCGTCACCAGCAGAAATCGAACTTCATTCACAGTTGCTTCCTTTCGTAAGCTGCACGGAAGCCTGGCTACGGGTCAGTCAAGTCCTTAGTATTTGACAATCCCAGCAATGGAAAATCATCATTTTCAATGGCTAAACCATCTGCATGTGTGGTGAATGTTGCATTGCCATATTTGATTACCAAAAAGTACTCCAAGAATTGGGATGGCTTATGTGGCTCGCAAACTTGGTTGTGCCGGAGTCAAACTTTCTTGCTTCAGGTGAACTTCTACGATTCAGTCAGACAATTAAGAAGTTCACCATTTCCATCTTTCTTCATTAGCAAACTTAGCAGACGTAGCACCATTGTTTAAAGCTGGGTGGCTCACTCTATGATCCATTGGCTCATAGTGTTGGTTGCTGGCATCCGGAGCTCTGGTTGCTTTCCGGGGTGTGTCGTACAGTGAAACGAAGATTCGCCATCGGGAAAAGGAGGGACTGGTTGGGGATGGTTACAGGGCATGGACGTGGTATTTGAGAATCAGTTGAAGTCACATATTGTAGTTTTGAAGTGAGCTGGTCATTGATTAGTATGAAAACAAGAACTGACTCTATCGTGAATTAAAAGACAGCTGCTCCATTGGGGCCAGTCTTGGTGGACCATCACAAGGTGGGCCCTAGATGGCCAAGTTATATCAATAGTGTACAAGTATATCACCCATTGTATCAGTAAGATATTATATCTATCTATCTAATCTATCTAATCTATCTAATCTATCTAATCTATCGTATCTATCCTATCTATCCTATCTATTGAGTGTTTCCTAAATATTGTAACAGTCAGTAAAAGGGTTCCTTGCTAAACACCCCCCCAAAAGGAGCACCATGAAATCAACTTATTTTTCTTCAAGGATTGTTGGGCCTGGGGACATGTTCATTATTTTTGTTTAAGTTTCATGGTATTTCCAATTCGTGCTTTTTTTCCCGGTTTGGCGTGCACCAAATCGTGCTCCAATTCGTGCTTTTTTTCCCGGTTTGCCGTGCACCAAATCGCGCTCCAATTTGTGTTTTTTTTCCCGGTTTGCCGTGCACCAAATCGCGCTCCAATTTGTGCTTTTTTTCCCGGTTTGCCGTGCACCAAATCGTGCTCCAATTCGTGCTTTTTTTCCCGGTTTGCCGTGCACCAAATCGCGCTCCAATTCGTGCTTTTTTTCCCGGTTTGGCGTGCACCAAGTCGTGCTCCAATTCGTGCTTTTTTTCCCGGTTTGCCGTGCACCAAATCGTGCTCCAATTCGTGTTTTTTTTCCCGGTTTGCCGTGCACCAAATCGTGCTCCAATTCGTGCTTTTTTTCCCACTTGGGCTTCCTCTCCCGGTTTGAGTTTTGTAGTTGCTGGGCTGGTGTGTGTTTTCGTAAACTTATGCTTGCGGTTTCGCTGGTGTCACACCTAAAGGATTGCCAGTCGTATTTTGTGTCAATTTTGCCGTGCACCAAATGGTGCTAAAAATTGTGCTTTTTCAATACATGTTTACAGGAAAAAACACAAAAAATAGCACCATTTAGAGCACCGCGTTTTCCTTTCAAACTTGAATAGCCTCAAAACATTTCAAAACCACTTTGGTCCCAAGTCTCGCCTAAGCTGCGATAAATCCTGTCCTGCTCCGTGCACCAAATCGTGCTCCAATTCGTGCTTTTTTTCCCGGTTTGCCGTGCACCAAATCGTGCTCCAATTCGTGCTTGATTTTCCGGTTTGCCGTGCACCAAATCGTGTTTTTTTTCCCGGTTTGCCGTGCACCAAATCGTGCTCCAATTCGTGCTTCTGTTACTGTTTGCTTCTGCTGCATTTTAAATGGAAAAATGCCGGTAAAACCAGAAAAACGCTGGTTTTAGATTGTTTTCCTTTTTGGAGCCTGGGCCAGGATCTGGTCAGAGGCCAGCCTCCCAAATTAGAAGAATATTGAAAGCCGAACACCAAGCCGAACACCAAACATCACAACCAGTGCGAATTCCAGATTTGAACCCACAGCCTTGCCAAAATGATTCAGCTCCAAGCTTCATTTTTATAAGATCAACTGGGAAAAGAAAAAACACTCGCGCAGGGTGGCTGGGTGTGTCTTATCTTGGGAAAACCTCTTTGCACATAGGTCATTGATTTGCCTGGATTTTGCTGTTTTCGGCGTGCTCCAAATCGTGCCCCATTTCGTGCCACTGTTACAATATTTAGACCATACACAACCTATCTATCCTATCTATCCTATCTATCCTATCTATCCATCCATCCATCCATCCATCCATCTATCTATCTACCTATCTATCAACCTATCTATCTATCTATCTATCTATCTATCGATCTATCTATCTATCTATCGATCTATCTATCTATCCATCTATCTATCTATCTATCTATCTAATTAATCTATCTAATCTATCTAATCTATCTAATCTATCTATCTATAATATAATATACTGTAATATAATATAATATAATTTGATTTAATTTAATATATATATATATATATTACATTATTTAAATATATATATATATATATATTAATGTTCTCATTAAATTATCAATGATATCTCTGCTTTTGACAGTGAAAGTTCCCTGGTGGCCGAAGTGGCCGAGGTGGCCCCGGACCCGGACGCATATGCCACGGATGCGGTGAAGAAGGCGTGGCTGACAGTGGTGGGTGATGGTTTTCAGTTAGAAATGGACCAACATATCCATAGAAAATCATAGAAATGGTCATTTAGATGTGGCAAAATGTGATTAATACGGGTAACTATCCATGAATATCCTACATCAATCGTGATTCTGGGTAGAAGTGATGGTTAGTTGAAATGGTTCATATGTGCCCACTTGGCTCTTGGTGGTTGATGGACGTATGGTTATGGCATGTTATGGCCATTAAATATCGTGGTGATGTGCTGTGAACCAGCGAGATTGTCTGACTCTGGACAGGGGTCGTTGAATTTGAATGATTGTGCTTCCCCTTTCCCCTTTCCATTAACCTACCAATTGGACTCGATTCCTATTTTTGTCTCTTGGATCTGCCGTAGCGCTCTATGCAGGTGGCTGCACGGGTGCGAAACAGCAAATGCGTCCTGGCGGAGTTGATCCTTCAATCTCTCAACTGTTCATCACATTCACCCCCCAAATTCAATCACCACATCCTGGTTCATCATATGTTTTTCACATTTTGTTCAGGCCTTTTCAAGACGTCTACCATCCACCATCCCATCAACATCCACCGGTGAGGCCCTGCCGCGTGGCTGTCGAAGGTGCGGCAGTGGACCTTCTCCACCGTTCCGCTGGCGCTGCTCCGCGGAGATTTCGACGTTCCGGCGCTGCTGGATGAGTTGGAGCGCTGCGGCTGCGGCTGCGCTGGATGTTACCAGGGGGAACTAACGGGATACGGAGAGTACCCAATTAACTGCATCTAACATAACCTAACTACCGTGTTACCATGTAAATTGCAATGTAAGTAAATAAGTGATATAAATAAGTGATATATATATAATATAATATATATATATATATATATATATATAATATAATATAATATATATATATATATTATATATATATATATATTGTCAGTCATGGATGTTAGACGTGAGACTGATAGATGATAAGATCAAATAGTCAATGTGAGTCATGGATCATGGATGATCAATGATCTGGGTCGATGGATATTTTAAATGACCAAACATGGTTTCAATGAGTAAATAAATACATTTCATTATTCATATCATTTGAATAATTTGCGGCTAATGATGAATGTGAATGGGTTAGGAAGTGATGAACGGAGTCCCCAAGAGGCCCAAGTTGGCTACTCCTAGGACTCCTACTGTAGTGATAAACAATTTTAGTATGAATTAAGATTAAACCACATTAAAAGAACACAGGAATTCTAAGTAATCTTGGTTATTTCTTATTACATGTTATTAATCCCTACTTGAAATCTTGTTACTATATTCAAGTGGCATGCTAGTGGTAATCAAAAAGTCGGATACGACTAAGAATTTGTCAGTATACGCATATGTTTATTTAGTAACTTAGTACCAAAGCTTATTAGGATATTACAATATAATACCATTTATATAATATATATATATATATATTTGGTTTGACGACTTATTACGCATAGGATCTGTGGATTTGTGATCAATTTTTTTTAAGTAGTTGGAGTTGGATGATCTATGCTGAACCGCTGCACTCGGCAAGAAGCTGAAGTGCTTGGACTCGGTGACTCGGGGCTGGTCACTGGTCACGCGGAACATGCTGGGGCCCTGCATGGGATCCAAGCAGACACCAACATGGGCAATATTTGGACTGACAGCAACATAGAGAAAAACATGAATTGATTAGCAAACAGAGATGTGGGCAAAAAAAAATGCAAAAATAAGTCCATGGGTCAAAATGTGTCAAAACCGCTGAGACCATTTTTGGGCATGAGCATTTAGCTACCACGAGGTGAATAGTAGCTAGTCTCTATGGGCATACCCCACTTACCAACCATCGATCGTCATTTCAGCGGTTATCCAAGAAGGAAGGCATGTTTTCTTCATCCGTTTCTTGAAACTCTGTGGATCTGTCCCAAATTTGGTCCAGTTGGAGGCTATTGAGAACCTATGGTTTCCGGACAGAACATGAAACATAAATTGCGAGATTTCCATCTATTATTATGTGAATTTGATAGAGGCTAAACCGGTTTGAAAAGTTTTGGGGGTTGCTCGTACCCAAGGTAACTGGGAAACCATGTAGGAGAACCTGACGTTTACATGTGTTTACCATTAACACATACGCTTTTAATGTATACAGTATATATATATATATACATATTACATATATATATATATTATAAATGTTACAGATAAATCCCATGATGTCCCAACCTTTAATTCTTGGCTCAAGCTGGGGGTTCTTTTACCATTCTTTCTTTGGAGGCCTCGCGTCCCCGCCGCCATGGCCCGCACGGCGGCGGCCCTGCTTGCCGCGCTGGCTCTGCAGTGGACGGGAGTAGATGCCTATGCGCGCTTAGCGACGGCAGCCGCTGGAACAAAACGGCGGGGATGAACCGGTTAACCAGCCAAAAAATGTGGATGTAAGCAGTAACCATTGGAACATTGGATGTCACCACCAATATTTGGAATTTATCAGCTAATTCTTTTCTCCAATATTGGATTTCACAAAGCAACATAGGGAGTGTACCAACGCATTGTAATTAATCATAATCTTCACAGATTGGATTTCACCAACAGATGTTGATTTCGCCGCAGCGAAAATTGCTTTGTCTGAAGCCCAGGATCTTTAGCATCACAGTTTTAAGTACGTGCTTTGATAATGGGGACCTACATGGTGGCATATCTGGTAATATTCACTAAACGACAGAATGATCTATGTAATCACATACATATCCAGACGTAGCATCAAGTGCGTGTGCAACTTGTAAGGAACACTACCGCCACATGCCACACGATGCCACACCCTACCCCATCGTCAGCGTGGCATCAAGAGCGTCTGCAAATTGTACTGAAAGTGCAACTATCCTCTTTTTGCACACATAGACGTTGAGGCTTGCACATTTGAATAACGGGCAAAACACTGGTGGGAATGTCCCTCCGCTAGCACAACATCTGGAATCTGGAATCACCAGTAAAACTGGTGATTTGAGACTTGAGATAATGAAAAATTGAGGTTTCACCAGGGAAAACCAACTAACACTAAGAAACGCGCAGTGTGGGGAATGGGGAGTTGGTTTCAGACACTTTAATAATTTAATATTTGTTTCACTTTGATGGGATTTGATGGGATTTGATGGGTACGTATACCACCAAGCAGAGAAGTACAAACTACATGTGTCGCAATAGAAGTTTGACAAGGTTAACAGGGGGTGAACAACAAGATCTGATGGCTAGTTGGGAGAATAATTCATTTTTTGCTTGGTGAACGACTATGAGGTTTATACTAGCAAGAATACAAAGAAAATCAATGATGGTGGAGCACTATAAAAAAAAAGTAGGAACACCTTTATCCTTGTGCTGAATGTCTGTTGCGGGCTGGCATATCTGATATCTCGATATCATTTGTTATCCTTTACCCTTCGACATGCAGCAGGCATGCTGAGGATGATAGGATGTCCTGCAAATCCTGATGTGTCACACGATGTCAATCTATGCTTGGTTTCTGCAAATGTTATGTTCCTGAGAAACAAACGCTGGGAGGGCCAAGATCAAAACAATTGTATTATATATATACATATAGATATATAGATATATATACATATATACATCATATATATATACACATATATATGTATATATATACATATATATATGTATATACATATAATTACATAGTTGTTCCAAGGGCGGAACGGCCGAACGTGGGCACCCAGTACTCAGTAGAAACCCGTCTGAATCTATTGCGAAAAACATTCCCGTAGGTGACTCAGGTCTCAGATCTAGTTAGCTAATATTTCCTTTGCTAGATTTATCTACCAGATGGTATGTGCCGTCTGCCCAGATTGTTGTTGGGTTGTCAGTTGTCATGTATATATTCATGTATGTAGTATTTATATATGTATATACATACATTATCATACATTTATACATGTGCATTGATATCCACCTTTCTTGGATTCACTGTTGGATTTGCCACCCTCACATTCCCAGTTTTTATTGCTTATATATATATTGGTTAGACCCAAATTATAGTTCTATGATAGTTCGATAGATATTATATATACATGGTATTAATGATCTAGCATCTATCTAATCCATTTAATCTATTCTACCAAAATCTTGGATGAACATAGTTCTATTCATATCGACTTTTCATTGGTAAAATAACTCATAGAATAGAATCCATCATCCATCATCCACATCTATTAATATCGGTATTTCCAGGATGATCCAGCATTATCATCTATTAATATTCTATTCCATGATATCCATCTATAATGATAGTATACATACATATATATATATGGTATTAATGATCATTTCCAGGATGAGTTTACCTTCGATGATACCCTTTAACGACAACGGTGACGAGGTCACTGGTGAAGTGGTGAAGGGAGCAGGGAATTTGACCATGGGCGGCAGAGCGCCCTGGGCTGAAGGCCAACGGACGTGACGGATTTGTTTGGCCAACGGGGACATGTACAAACCAGCTCATAGTGACTTTCTGGAAAATATGCATATAATTATATTATCCATAAATGCTATAATGTATAGATATATACACAATTATACATAGCAATGAGTTCTGGAAATGTGTATATTGTATATAAATACTATAATGTATAGATATATACACAATAATGATACACAGATACTGCGGGGTATCTAAGATTGGCTACGAAAAAAAACTATTGATTGATGGTTAATCTCCTAAATTTTGAAAGGGAAACGTGCAGGACCTCAGCAACCCAGGGAATGTTAACAAGTTGTGGGTCCAGCACGATTTCGCTTCGGCCAAGCCTATGTTTGTCAAGGTTTGATCGTGGTGATCCAGCATTGTGCTCTATCAGGATTGATGATGGTCACCCGTCCTTCCAATGCATCCCTTTCAATAGGGCCTGATTGCGTAGGTGCCTTTGACGAGGCTACTGTTCCTGTTTATGATTGTCTATTCCCCAAAGAGAAACAGGTTGGGACGAGTATGCTCTGCTTGGAAGATGGACAATTCAGAGAACTTTGTTCCAATTTTCAGGTGCATGTGTACTGCATCAAAATGCTTCCACAAGCTCGATTAAGTTGGTGGAACCAATTTTGAATGATATCCAGGGATCTTTGAACACATTCCTCCTGCATCATTTTCTGAGTGGACCCAGTCCCAATCTTCACCATTTCCATGTTCCGCTCTTCCTGCACATCAATCTGTCGATGTAGATTCTAGAGACAGGAACTACATGTCACTGTGTCCTGGACTGAAAAACATGATTTATTGGACATCAATCCATACTTTGATCCAACAGGGCCAGCAGATCTCCAACAAATCTTCGTCATTTTCGTGGCGTTTGAAATGCCAACTGCGTCCTGAGGTCGGTACCTATACCGTGCTACTTCAAGTTCTCAATCCCGAGTATGGCCCGCTGAGCCCCTCGGCTGAGACCGTTGGAGAAGTCAGATGTGCATCCCATGTGGTACAGTAATTGGCTTATAACTTATAACCCATGTAATCCGATACAACTGAGGTTCATGCCTTCTGAATTTATATTGACGTATAGTTGCATGTTTTAATAAGATACTCAACATGGGAACTATCGCAGAGATATACAGTATCATAGCCTATCTGCAGCCCGGTGGTGAGAAGGAAACTGTTTCTCATTCCCCGAGTGTAAACGTTGCGAACGGCATGTTTCGCCAATCGCTGCCATGGGTCCGCGGGTCCAAAGAGATACTGCAGGAGGTTGATCCGCACCTATATTCCATGATACACATGTATAAAATATAATGATTACAATATAATGATATGATTACAATTTATTTTGATATAATGGGACCGTTCTGGGACGATTCTTACATGTTCGGTTCATATCTCAGTTATATAATTACATAATTAGATATCATCATTTCTACTATCCCCGTTTAACAACCTTTTTTGACCATTCCTAGTTTATAAACCCATCTAACTATGAATCGACCATGAACCGTATAGTTATAGTATACTAGGTATATGCCAACATAGCTCCCTATAGGAGGTTCTCCACTCAGTAGGGAACCATCACCACCGGATCCATTGGAGGACTTCTGATGGAGTGCTGTGGGGAGAACCAAAATTTGGTGAACGACATGGTGACCGAAGTCAATGCCCATGAAGCCACTTGGCACTGGCAGGGGCTGGGGTAGCAAGGGGTGGCCAAAGATGCAAATATGTACATAGACATAGATATACACGAATATCATGTGTGCATATATATATATATATATGTACGTTGCATACGTTAACGTGTAACAGTGTATGTATATATGTGGATGGACAACTATATCTATTACTTCCTATTATAAGTATGGACTTTCCTACCTGTTCAGCTGTGAAGAACCTTGAGACCCCTGCCGTGTAATATGTTGAGAGTAGGTGGGGCGACATGAAGCTGCAACAGCAATCAAGACATAGTGTGAGTGTATATATATATATATGTATAGAGAGAGAGAGAGAGAATCCCTGTCTTGCAACAGGTCAAAAAAAGTTGTGAACCTAAATGTTGGGTACATCTCTACCGAGCTTTCTGCGAAGGAACCTTGATGGACCATGTGAGACATTGTCAGACAATAGTGTGACACCCCGTGACGCGAAACGACTGGCCGTATTATGCCATGTTTACAGTAGATTCACAGGAACATATACATGTAGTATCATGTAGTACTGTATGTATATCATGTACCATTCGATACCTGATTCGGGTGAAAATGATTGTTGTTCTCAGAGTTTCGAATTTGGGTTGGAACTTGTCAGGTCTATGGTCCAAAGGGCAAACATCGTGGAAAGGACGCCCTGGTGAAACAGTACCAAGGACGCTGCAGCCAACCAGGACGGACAGTCCTCCAGTCGTCATGGTGGTGGTGTCATTTTTCCATGGAAACATGGCACAGGTAATTGCAACTACAAATTGGGGATGACCGGAGATATGGCCGTTTAGATGGGTAAAATGATGATGATAAGACTATGATGACTAGGTACTAATTATACCATGTACTGTACCTTATTTGTGGAACATCTGAATGAATTTGATGATATTGCCACCCGGCAGACACCTGGAATTGCTGTTTTTGTTGTGTGCCTGTTTCAGAAACAACCATTTGGGAAATTTAGGTTTTCCAGCGTTAAACTGCGTTCAATGGTATTTCCACAGTTTCGCCCACAAAGGCCCAAATCGATGGTATTTCCCACACATTTTCTTGTGTTTACGCTGTCTCTGGGTCTTCTCCAGGAATCAGAGGATTGCTGGAGGAGGGAAAACCTGAGTGCAGCTATTTCTACATGTTCCCTGCAACTAAGTCAATTTTCCTTTTGAATTCTTCCCATTGGCTAAACCACTATTTTGGGAATCTACTGGAGGTGCTGTTTTTTTTCTATGGCTCCCTAAGCAAATCCCAGGTTCCAAAACAAAGCAGATCCAGACAACACCTTCACTGTCGCTGGTCTGAATTGGCGGAATTGTTATGCTGGCCGTCTAGCTGTGTGTGTGCGTGTGGGTGAGCCAGGTGAGCAAGACAGTATTTAAAAAGCATGACACGTGTCTAAAATACGCACACCAGTCCGAATCCAAGACTACAAAAAATCCGCTGGTCAATCATAAGATTTCCACATATTTCCAGCAGAAAATTGCAAAAACATGACAACGTTGGGGGTAGGTCCCATAACACCGAGGCGTGGTCAGTACCAGAGGACGTTTGCTCCACAGACGTGTCGGGGACTAGAGGCCGGTTCAAGCCGCTGGTTGAGGCTTGGGACTTCTGTAGGCAGAAACTGCTTCCTGTGATGATGATTATGAACGAATCCAAACCTGAGAAGCCTTACCAAAACGTACGTACGTTTGGGGAAACAGAAAGTTCTGGCCATGCTCAGTCTGTACAAAGCTCATCTTCCTTGTTGATTGTGTTTCACAATTTATGATATATGCAACTGATGAGGACCTACTGATGTTTTGCATTCCCGAGTGGGTCTCTCTCTCTCTCTCTTGTAACACGTGTTGAATCGCTGAACTGGCTGGCTCTGTCAAATTTATCCCACTGTTCATATAGAACTACAATTAGCTCAGTAGATGGCAGTGTTTAGCGAATGGAAGGGAATCACTCGAAACAAGCAACAAACATGTACAGCGTAGATAATTGTAAATAAGCACAGTTGATGGGAACCGACACATGTCAATTTAGAAACAAAGGAACACTAAATATGATGGATAGCACATGCTCATGCTTAACCTATGATGATGGGGATAAGCTGTTGACCGCCATCTCAACTGTGTAATCGGCCATTGATTGGGAGCCTCGTCCTCTAAGTTTTGGCAAAGGGGAGCCCCACATATCATGACGGTGCTGTGGCTATGAAATCAGTTGACCATAGATGCCTGAGAACTGATGTGAATCCAATTCCTCTTGCCATCGTGAGTCCCCTTTCACTCATCATCAACCCACCTCAAGCCACCAAGGTTGGCTTTGACAAAACGCATAATATTGATTAATATTGGTTTGTAGAAAAATAGGGAATCCATAGGCTCTCCCTTTTTCTCACTTTCCGAATCATCATTGTCCATTTTGTTTGGCCATTTTGGGGACATGCCCTGCCTTGGTCGGCAGACCCTGCCTTCACGTGGCCCTTGGGTTTCAGGTCTTATTGCCGGATATCAGGAGTTTTTGCAGACGCTGAACGCCTTGCGGCTTGGCACTTTCCATCTTGGGATCCTGGGATCAGTGTGAAGTCTCAACCGACTGGGTAAGGGCTAATCCTTTAGTATTTTGCTATAAATGGATATAAATGGAACATAACCATAACTATAACCAGCAAACGATGATCATTGTGGATTCTGGATGATTGTGGGCTATTCGACTTCCTGGTACCGTACCACCACGCGGAGCTGATGCGGCCTGGTTGCTGGGCTAAGAAAAGCGCTGTTACAGCAGCGATGGTGATATTGGTAATGAACATGGGGATTCGTTGATATATCAATATTATCAATTCATTGTTGTTATATCAACTGTATCATTATATTAACGAATGACCATGGTTACACCATTGATAAATATGGTGATTCGTTGGTATTTTATGCATCGATGGTGAATCACCATCCCATCACAGTTTATAGCAGGACTAGTTCTGTCTATGGGATGCGACTTGCAGGGCACCAGGGTTTTGACCTAATGTTGACCTCTGATTAAGTTTAGTTTGGGAGTTTGGTTAGCTTTATTCAGGGTTAGTTTAATAATCGTAGGTGAACATTATGCTGACCAAATCAGCAATTGTCATAAGAGAAGGTGATGCATCAAGGCCGTTCTTGGCTCACAGACTGTTCACTGTTTCCGGTCTCTCCGGAAACATCGCTCAGGTATGGCAAGCTCGTGTATGCTGGCAAGGGCGACATCAGCAACTAGGCAGTCCAAGAGAATACGACTTGAGAGTGAAGCAACTTGTGGTTGGTGCAGCAATAATCAATAATATGGATTTGTAAATCATCAAGAATAAATCAATAATAATATATATTAATATATAATATTATATAATAATATATAATAATAACCGATAACTTGAAAATGGGCATGGCCCCTAATGGTCTGGCCATTAAACATGGTGGAGATGATTTTCTGCACAAAGGGAAGGACTAGGGTTCAAAATTGGAAACACCTCCACATTATTCCACATTTGTTTATATGTGTTTATTGATTTTATGTCTACTCACTTTTAACGGAGGATGTTTCATGATTTTTAAGTATCCTGTTCAGAATACAGGTATTTTTGAGGTATTTTCAGCAGGGTTGATCATGGATAGTGAAAACGACCTCCCAACAAATGAGCCTGGAAGAAACAACACTCATCCCATGTTCTTTAAGTATATAGTGGTTGGCATAAATCACGGCGATCCCACCATGGTTGTCCATTGTTGAAGGTTTCTGGAACCCATGTTGGCTATTCAAAAAGTACAAAACTGGCACCACTGGCATCACTGACCATATCTGACCCATTTTGATTTATATTGCCAAGAGACCTAGGGTTGCAAGGCTTATATATATATATGCTTATATAACTTGTATAAATCATTATATACATATATAATTATATATATATATGTATATGAGTACAATGGTCCACCAATTTATTGATAAAGCGTAGGTGCTTGAGACTAAACTTGGAAACCAATAATAATCAATCATATAGTGCCACGAACTCCCCGTATTGAGACTGTTTTATACTTTTTGGTGGTGTTTTTTAGCACAGATCCCCCTTTTTTCCCAGCTACTGAGATAGCGTTTTGAATGGCATGAATGCTGTGAACGAGGGAAACTTGTCCAGTGGCTTTGGCGGCATGGAGCTTTGGGACTTTGTCCAGTGACCCATGGTGACCCCCAATACTGGTTGATCAAGGGCTTATTGACCATCTATTGGGGATCCCCTTCGGGATGGTTGAATCATGTATATCATGTTGAATCCACGGGTTGTGATTCTCCAATGTGGCAAGAGAAGTCCAGATATATAGAAAATGAATGAACAGTAAATCGCCAGCAATATCAAAACAGTTGGGAATCGCAGGGACAGACATTTTGTTGATATTCTAAATCGATCTAAATAGACTTTAAATACACAAATTGCAGACACCGCCAAAACTGAAGTCTGGGACCATGGGATAAAAACATACTCGTATTTTTCGATGTGGTTTGGTTGATGAATTCCAATCATCTTTCACCATATGTTTTGATTTGTTTCTATTTATATAGAGTATATAGTACATTTGTCTGATGACTTTATGGTTTGAATCGTGTGAATTTACAGGTGAAGACACTCTCAGGAACGAAGCCCTGAGTTTTTTCTGGTAATGTGGCTCCTGGGGTCGCCAAAGTAGGGTCTCTGTTTCCGCGCTTGCGGGCCTCGATCTGACGCTCCTGGTCCTGCTATATGCGGATTTGCAACTGGCTGTGACAAGACCTATTGGCAAGGCTGCGCGGGGCAAAGCGTTCAGTGATGCTGCGACGCTCTTGGCAAGCGGGACTGCAGCTGGAGGTTGCTAAATGCATTGTAAGCTGGTTTCAGATGATTCGGGTAGCTAGCTGTGAGGCAGCTCAGAGCAGGGTCAGAGAAGAAGCCCAGATAAGAGGCTGCTCAGAGGAGAAGTAGCTGAGACAAGAGGTACGGTCGCTGAGTGAAGAAGTAAGTAAGCACAACGAAGAAGTATGTAGCTCATCCATCCACCCATCCATCCATCCATCCATCCATCCATTCATCTATTCATTTATTCGTCCGATCACTGGTTCATTGATTCATCGAGTTTTTAACATTCCACTGGTTCACTGGTTCATTGACTCTCATTCAATGGTTCACTGATTCATCGGTTCTTTGGTTGGTGCATTGATTCACTGAATCGTTTCTGGGATTCATTGATTCATCGGTTCACTAACTCAATCATTTTGATTCATGTTTCATTGGTTCATTGGTTCAATCGGTCAGTTGTGCATGGATTCTTTCACGTCGTTTCAGTCGCATCCCAACCACCATTTGCATCCATTTGCTCATTCCTTGATGCACCTCACAACTTCAGCAACTCATTGCCTCTGCATCGCTAAAACTTTCCTATAGACCATTCGTTCTCGAAACGTCCGCACCGGCATGGGCCGGGCACTACCTGGTACATAAAATAATGTACATGGATTTTAAAAGCAAGAACAAGTATTGTTCCCCCTACAATGGGCAACACGAAGCAACTGTAATGTGGCAAACAACTGTCATTCCTAGCGCGATCGTAGTATAGACATATAGGTTCAGTTGAGATAATGACAAGGATCATCCAAAACACAACCGGGGGAGTGCTTTGGCCAGTGCGTAGCGCATGCCAGTTGTTCCGTTGTTCCTTTTGTTCTCGCTGTTCTTCTTGCTGTTGCTGCTGTTGCCACTGTTGCTACAGTTGTTGTTGCTGTATTTTTGTTGTTGTTGATGATGTTGGTGGTGGTGGTGGCGGCGGTGGTGGTGTTTTTGTGGTGGTTGTGGTCGTCGTTGTCTCGTTGTTTTGTTATCTCATTGGTTCATTTTCTGTGTCGTTGTTTGGTCGTCTCTCTGTGTCGTTGTGTCGTTGTTGTTGTCGTCATTGTTATTTTTTATTGTTGTTACCTTATTAGATAATTTTCGCAAATTATATAGTTTTTTTCTTTTTATGGATTATGGTATGGGGTTACAACATTGTTAAACCTCCGGTTGTAACAGAGTTGCCTCGATGATGACAATCTCCTTTCACCACCGCAAAACTGAATTCCAGCAAATCAATAGTTTCATGACCGAAACAGTTACCTCTGCTGAACCCACCCAAAGCTGAGGATTCGTGAAGACACAACCCAAATATTTGGACCTTTTTGGGCTGAAAATTCCTATTGGAAAGATGCCCGGCTTGGAATCAGGTTCTTGCGGTTTGGTATGTGTGTTTCCCAACTCCTTGAAGGTTGCAGGAGAAAATTGCAGTAAATCACTGTGCATCCGTCTGATTTGATTGATTATTCACACAACAACTCAAAATGGTCGTGCTACTTAAAAAATGCATAAACATACATATTTGAAGTATCCTTCGGAAAAACTTGAGGAGCGGCCGAAACCAACATCTTCAAATTTGTGATTCGTAGGTTTATCCTTCTGCATCCTTCTGTGTTCATACTGTGCATACTGTGGATGTGTCTATATAGTTTTTTTCTCCTCTGGATTATGAACATGGAACATGGCAGAATCTATAGCTACTTGATGCTACTTGGCCAACCCAGTCCGGGAGATCATGCTGCCAGCGGCATAGCATCAGGACCAACTTCATGAAGTTTGAGGGGGTGGAACAGCTTGGCATCATGGACATGCTTTCAGCCTGCGACCACAATCCCTCCGAAGGCATTTTGTATGTTTTCGACAACCGGATGCTTGGTTGACCTTGTTTGCCTTCCGATGCAGGCGATGCAAATTTGCATCTCAAGATCAGCCATGTGTACGGCAAAACAACCTGCAGTTGGGCATCATTTGGGATCAGTTGGGCCATTTTGGTGCTGAATGGCTGAATGTTGATAAAGATACCATAGATGGATGGTATGGGTTCGGACCCTGAACGCAAGAACGGGATAGGACAGGCTTCTTTCTGGTTCTTGGATCTCTGGGAGTAGACTTGGGCAAAGCAGACTTAAGCGGACCTGTTTAAATGCGGGACTTGGAGCTTCAAATGCCTCAAACCAAAAACTGCAATATTGGGATGTATCAAAACCAAACTGCATAACATACTGGTAACATTTTTTTAGGGAGTATGAACCCCCAGAAATATCCACCATCATCTGCTGGCAGTTAGAGTTCACCAGGATACCAGGGTCAAACTGTCCGAGGATGTGGTCCAACAGCACTCGCGCCCTGAATGCGACTGAGTTCCTGAAGAGCAGTGCAGCGACGCTCGGTGTTAGGTCATAAAGTTGGTACCCTTTGGTCATTTGACAGCGTGCTACGAAAAACGACTGGTCGTTATATTATATATTATAAAACTATAAATATAGTTATATATAAATACATAAATATAAGTATATACAGTTCTTCTATAGACATGTATGACTATGTATGTACATAAATCATCTAACTATAAATAAATATATAAAAAAAACAATTTCCATAGCTATGTTGAATTACTAGAGGGCAGATATTATTATTCAAGTCACTTTGGACATCTAGTAAATTGCACTTTGTACCTATTGTACATTCGCACTCTGATGGTGTCATCAAGATGTGGGGAGTCAATTGTCCACCCTGTCAAGCGTTCAACCATCCCCTTGTCAAGCCAAACCACCAATAATTATTTGATACTGTAAGTCACATTCTGAAGACCGTGGCTTCCAATTCTCCAAGCCTATATTTGTGGATAAACATGCTTTCCCAGGAGAAATAGCGAAAAGAACATGGAGGAGCGCCAGACGGAGCTGACGATGGTAGCCATATCACCAACAAAAAATGCGGATTTGACGCACAATTCAACCACTAAACATGGTGGATTTATTGAGATAATCAGATCAGATAATACTAGGTACATATGGGGATAGCAATACAGAATGATATACGTAACAAAGTGATATGTGGGTTTGTTTGAAACTGAAGTATGATGATAAACCAACGGATTTCTGGGTACCCCAATTTCCGGAGAACCCAGAGGTTGAGTAGGCTGACTCTTTATTTATTTTGAAATCGGCTATAGATGAAGGAATCTACGAAACAGAAAATTGGGATAATTTGGGTATCATCCTGGACCCAATATTTACATAATGCAGGTGATTCCCCTGAAGTTCTTGGATATATATATATATATATATACATATATATATATACATATATATATATATATATATACGCGCAACGCCTGGGTTTTGCCCAGGCGTTGCAGCGTAGCGGTTTCCCATTCACAAACAAATGATGTTGCAAATTACTGTAATTCCTATGGGGAAAATAACAAAGGTACTAGGGACTATTAAACAAGCAAGGTCAAAACACCCGAAATTCCTATGGGAAAAACAAAAACGGCATAACATTTGAAATTCCTATGGGAAAAACAACAAAGGTACTAGGAAATTTTAAACTCTCAAATCGTGAAACTTAACATTCAATTAGGAAGATCAACAACGATATTAGGGAATATTAAATTCCCACCCCCGTTAAACCTTAAATTCGTATAGGGAAAACAACAAAGGCACTAGGGACTATATAAAAAAAAATGTCAAAACACCCGAAATTCCTATGGGAAAAACAAAAACGGTATTAGGGAATATTAAACTCCCACCCCCGTTAAACTTTACAATCAATTGGGAAGATCAACAAAGATATTAGGGAATATGAAACTCCCACCCCCGTTAAACTTCTACATTCATTGAAGATCTTCAACAAGGGTTTAATTCTCCCACCCCTTTTAAACTTCTACATTCATTGAAGATCTTCAATAAGGGTTTAATTCTCCCACCCCTTTTAAACTTCTACATTCATTGAAGATCTCCAATAAGGGTTTAATTCTCGCACCCCCGTTAAACTTCTACATTAATTGAGGATCTCCAATAAGGGTTTAATTCTCCCACCCCTTTTAAACTTCTACATTCATTGAAGATCTCCAATAAGGGTTTAATTCTCGCACCCCCGTTAAACTTCTACATTAATTGAGGATCTCCAATAAGGGTTTAATTCTCCCACCCCCGTTAAACTTCTACATTCATTGAAGATCTCCAATAAGGGTTTAATTCTCCCACCCCCGTTAAACTTCTACATTCATTGAAGATCTTCGATAAGGGTTTAATTCTCCCACCCCCGTTAAACTTCTACATTCATTGAAAATCTCCAATAAGGGTTTAATTATCCCACCCCCGTTAAACTTCTACATTCATTGAAGATCTCCAATAAGGGTTTAATTCTCCCACCCCCGTTAAACCTCTACATTCATTGAAGATCGTCAATAAGGGTTTAATTCTCCCACCCCCGTTAAACTTCTACATTCGTTGAAGATCTTCGATGAGGGTTTAATTCTCCCACCCCCGTTAAACTTCTACATTCATTGAAGTTCTTCAATAAGGGTTTACTTCTCCCACCCCCGTTAAACTTCTACATTCATTGAAGATCTCCAATAAGGGTTTGATTCTCCCACCCCCGTTAAACTTCTACATTCATTGAAGATCTTCAATAAGGGTTTAATTCTCCCACCCCCGTTAAACTTCTACATTCATTGAAGATCTTCGATAAGTGTTTAATTCTCCCACCCCCGTTAAACTTCTACATTCATTGAAAATCTTCAATAAGGGTTTAAGTCTCCCACCCCCGTTAAACTTCTACATTCATTGAAGATCTTCAATAAGGGTTTAATTCTCCCACCCTCGTTAAACTTCTACATTCGTTGAAGATCTTCGATGAGGGTTTAATTCTCCCACCCCCGTTAAACTTCTACATTCATTGAAGATCTCCAATAAGGGTTTAATTCTCCCACCCCCGTTAAACCTCTACATTCATTGAAGATCGTCAATAAGGGTCTGATGATGTTGATGATGATGATGATGATGATGATGATGCGTCGCCCGTCGTCATTGCGGGTCCGGGCAAACCCCAGGCATTTGCCGTATATATATATAGATAATTATATATATATATATATACTGTGAGAACACTATTCCATGTCATTGATTCTTTATTATTGATTTATGTGTTCCCCTGATCCCAATGAACAAACATCTTTCGGATATGCGTAAAAAAATACAGATCTGGACATTACCTTCAACAGAAATGTCAACAGGACGATCGATAGTAGGGAAACACCAGCGAGAAACGTGTCTGGTTTTAGCATAGGTTTTAGCCACTACAACTTGCGGAAACCATCAACAATACAATAGTCTGACATCATGAGTTTGGAGTGAATCAGAAATACATAAACAAAAACATTTTTTTAATCATAGACAAAATCAGCGGAAGACTAAAGTAGTGGGGCATGGACATGGGATGTTCAAATTTGTACGAAAACATTCACACTGGCAGGGGACCACCCACTTACCGATACCCTATTTGTGCACATACTAGTTTATAAGTATATAGTATGAAAGTACAAACCTTCACAACCGATAGGGGACCACCCACTTTGGTCATGTCCATTGCGGGTAGTATATAAATAATTGTGTCCGCCACTCATATAAAAACACAGATACATTCCTCAATCTCGGTGAAAAAGGATCAGAAGGGACCCGAATGCCTGGAGCTCTGAAGGTTGACTCATGGAACATCCCATTCTTGATTCGGGAAAAATCCAGTTTGTAAATGGGGATGTAATGGGATATGACTAACTAACCAAACATCAATACCCTATGAAGATGCGAAGGTAAGATAGACAAGCATGTTGATTGCCCAGGAGCTTAGAGAAAGGATTCGAATGATTGAGCGAGTGCTGCCCAAGAAAGCTGTGGAAGTCGAAAAGCAGCAGGATTCTGGTGGGGACAAGCGGACACGGCGGACACGTGTGCATAAGATAGTAAAACCTCGTTTGCTTGATAGCTGAATCCCGAAATCCCAATAATATCTCACAATATCTCACATATCCAACGTGACCTCATTTATACACCCTTTCTTTGCTCAGTAATATCTCCATTTGTCCTTTTGCTGCACCATTGTATAGTTTTTTCTCAATTCAATCTGATGTCACCATTTTGTGTTGCCGCACCCGGGTTGTCGAGGAGTTTCTACACGAAGACTCAGAGGCGCTGAAGCTTGGAAGAGGAAATAGTTATTTTCCGTGGGACTTACCCTCTGGTAATTTGACATAGCTATGGAAAATAACATGTTAATAAGTAAAGGAGGGCCATTTATTTAGGGATTTGTTTTTTTTTAGTTTAGGGATTTTTTTTTGGATTTCTTCCTGCTTACTCTATTGCCTCCTGCAGTGCTTCTCTGCTTCTTTGCTTCTATTCCTTTTTTTGCTTTTCTTGCTTTTCTTTGCTTTTTTGCTTTTTTGCTTCCCTTGCTTTTCTTTGCTTTTCTTTGCTTTTTTGCTTTTTTGCTTTTCTCGCTTTTCTGCTTTTCTTTGCTTTTTTGCTTTTCTTGCTTTTCTTTGCTTTTTTGCTTTTTTGCTTTCCTTGCTTTTCTTTGCTTTTTTGCTTTTCTCGCTTTTCTGCTTTTCTTTGCTTTTTTGCTTTTCTTTGCTTTTTTGCTTTTTTGCTTTTCTTTGCTTTTTTGCTTGTCCATGAGGTGTGGAGCAACATCTTCTATCCATCTATATCCATCTATATCTATCTATATCTATCTATATCTACGTATCTATATCTATCTATGTCTATCTATATCTGTATCTATATCTACATCTATGGCTGTATCTATATATCTATATATCTATATATATCATATATCTATATAATTATCTATATATCTATATATCTATATCTCTATATATATATATATCTATATATATATATCTATATATATCTATATATATATATATCTATATATATATATATCTATATATATATCTCTATATATCTCTATATATATCTATATATATATATCTATATATTTCTATATATCTCTATATATATCTATATCTAGATATCTATATACATATATATCTATCTATTTATTTATCTATCTACCTATCTATCTATCTATCTAATTATCTATCTATCTATCTATCCATCTATCTATCTATCTATCTATATCTACATCTAGGGCTGTATCTATATATCTATATATCTATATATATCATATATCTATATAATTATCTATATACCTATATATCTATATCTATATATATATCTATATATATATATATCTATATTTATATCTATATATATATATCTATATATATATATGTCTCTATATATCTCTATATATATCTATATATATATCTATATATTTCTATATATCTCTATATATATCTATATCTAGATATCTATATACATATATATCTATCTATCTATATATCTATCTACCTATCTATCTATCTATCTATCTAATTATCTATCTATCTATCTATCTATCTATCTATATATCTATATCTCTATATATATACTATATATCTATATATCTATATAAATATCTCTATATATCTATATCTCTCTCTCTATATATTTATACCACCATATATCTATATATCTGTATATATCTATATTTCTATATGTATATATACATATATCTTTATATCTATATATCTTTAAATCTATATATCTATTTATCTATTTATCTATATATCTATATATATATATATATGTATATATATATCTACCTAAAAGGTTTGCATTATCATGCGGATGATATTCAAACCCCAAGCCAACCCTGAACCACACCTTATATAAATAGATCTTAAACCAACTCGATGATAACATCAAATGAAACTATTGTGCATCCTTGTGCCTTAACCTACATTCCACATGTTTCCAAGGTGCATGTTGTGTAGTATATACACCTTGAGTATCACATTCAACCTAGCACCTTGCATGTGAAAATAGGTGTTTCCAATCTGCTTTGGGGGGGAGGCGCTGCGCCCTCTCCCCCAATCCCCCCCTCCCGCTTTTTTTTTATTTAAATTCAAGCTTGCACACATTTCAATACACTACTTTGGTTAGAATATATATATATATATATACATTGTATATATATATATATATATATATTGTATATATATATTGTATATATATATATATTGTATATATATATATATATATTGTATATATATATATTGTATATATATATATTGTATATATATATATTGTATATATATATAACAACACTAACAACACTAACAACACTAACACTAGCAACACTAACAACACTAACAACACTAACGGTAACAACAACAACAACACCACCAACAACAACAACAACAACAACAACAACAACAACAACAACAACAACAACAACAACAACAACAACAACAACAACAACAACAACACCAACACCAACACCAACAACAGTAACAGTAACAACAAACAACTGTTGGAATGTCAGCCTTCAGCTCCAAAATCCTGCAAGTACTGTGAGGAATGTAGCTGTAAAATGTTGCACATACGGTGGAAATGCAGATTCCAGCTCAAAAATGCTGCAAAGAGCATGGAAAATGGACAGAACATGCTCATACTGTTGCAAATACCGTGGAAAATACAATGGAAAATGAGAGATTCGAACTCAAAACCGTTGCACATACCGTGGAAATGGCAGTTTCCAGCTCCAAAATGCTGCAAATAGCATGGAAAATGGTGAGAACCGGAAATCCAAAAAAAATTCCCCAAACTAAAAAAAATAAATCCCCAAACGATTTCCTACCCATAAGTAAATCATCTATACATGGGCCATTTTTTCAATAGCTATGTTAAATTACCAGAGGATACAAGAGGTAGCTGTGGCTTCACGTGATTCTGCCGCGACATGACAGACTCGGTGCAAGCCTACCGCACAGAAAGTTTAGTTTTTTTCGATGCTCACTCGCTGCACAATTGATCACCTTGTGCATCAGATGCCTTCAGAGAAGCAAAAAATCAGAATGGAGTCAACTACTGAAACAGGTGCATACAGGTGCATTACAACAGCATGATCAGTATGTTGACCATCATGACGAGCAACAAACAGAATATTGACCAGCAACATGGTTTGGTGATGGAGAATTCAAAGGAAACTGGGATAAGTAAGGGACCAGAAGTGTCGGCGAGCCACTGGTTGTTCTGTGGCTTGAGAAAAAAATGCCAAACAAGACGCTAAGGAAGAAGAAGGAAGACAATGTGTACAGAGACTTGGCTGTGGGTCACTATCGACTCGCTGGCTCATTCATTTCATATACACGTATTTACACACACGTGCGTATACCTGCGTATACAGAAATATATATATATATATACATACACATATATATATATATACATACATATATATATACATATATATATATACATACATATATATATATATATGTAGCGTTACAAACAAACACGTATAATAGTGCATGTATATATATACATATATATATATATGCATGATAATACATGCAACTATATAAATTGTATTGTATTCATGCATACAAGAAATTAGTACCCTCTATCCACAGATTGTGGTCAAAAACAATGGAGTTGTTTTATGTTTTTTTGTTCAAATACCCTTGACAAATCAAGGGGTATCAATATGCCGTTTTTGTGTGAGTTAATCCGGAGCTCTATCATCCAGTTGCAGCTTGAAACCAGCGCATGGTCAGCGTCCCAGAATTGGTTTCGGTTCACCTTCACTGAACACCTTGAACAAAGTGGGTATATACACAAAAGTGAAGAACTTGAACCCATGATTTCCGTCCGGTATTTCATGAAAGCTATCCACTGCTCTATGCACAGTCTTATCCGAGACCACGATGTTTCTTTGCAAATCTGAAAGGAAACGTAAAGAATCAACACAGTTCCAACCTCAAGCGACGGAATCTTATCCCAAAAGTGGTTTTGTCCAGCAATAGTGCATACCCCAATCGATGCCCATGTTGAGGAGGCAAATGATGATCAACCACCAGATTTGGCTACCCTGTTTGCATGCAAACATCCTTGAAGACTCCAATCCTGAAGAAATCCATCTAAGAGTTCATCTAAGAGTCCCTCTGGAATCCCCTTGAAAAATTCTTGAAGAGTCACTTAAGACAAAGAAAACTGGAACGAAATCCTTCGCCAAGGAGATATGGTTGACAAGGGCGCTACGACCGCTTGGAAATCGTTCGAAGAAGCCTTACCACGTGAGAAGGCGGCCACGATGTTCTGGAATTCAGCGGCAAAACATTGGGATTTTCTACCAGCAAAAAGCTGGATTTGACCAGCATAGAAATGGGATTGAGCAAGCACACATTGGGATTTCATCAGAGGAATATTGAGATTTCATTGCAAAAGTTCTGGATTTCGCAGAAATTGAAATTTTATTTGAAGAAATTGAGATTTCATCTGCAATCATGGTGACCCCGCAAGGGTGGGGATTTGGCCCATCCGTTTTGAAGATAGTCTTGGCCAATACCTAGTCATCAGGAAACTAATTATGGAAAATCACCATGTTCAATGGGTACATTATCTATTAATGGGATTTAATGGGCACTTTTTCATCTCTATATATTAAATTACTAGAGGATATATCGGTACATCCCATTAATCATCAGTAATCATCAATAAATCACAACTAACCGTGATTAACCACTACAAAAAATATTATGTGGTAATGATATGTCTTTGTTTTCCATGTGTTCCGTCCCTACCCAGGATGATGGTGCCCTTTGTTTCACCGACGGAGTTGGTATATCCCGACCCAGCGAAAAACAAGGGGAATGTTGAGCAACAATCATGGGGATCTGTGTTCAACAGAAAATTGATTTCAACCAACAAAAATTGTTACCTAATTTGATGCCGTTTGGACAAGACTTCAGGACTTCAGACGCCCAAACAACCGGGAAAATTGTATCCCATTGACCATTCCATACATTGAATAGGAGACAGTTGGTGACACTTGTAAGAGGTTGGGAACCCAACTACTACTCGTAGTAGCAATTGCTTTGGACATAACGACTCCAACTAGCAATAACACCCTGCAATTTACTAGGGTCTAAACACCAACTGAAATTGATGCCTCTCGACAAGCAGTGTGGATTTCAGCCATTATTTTACGAAAATCACGAATTCAAAGGAACCAAAGTATGGGCAAATGAATGGTCACGACCTCAAAACGACCTCACCCTGAGTACCATATATATATATATATTTATTTATTAGTATATGTACCAGTAGTACCGCAGAAGGCGGTGGCGGAAGTTTCAAAAATAGGAAAC